CCTTCCTCTTGTTGAAATGACCACCTGATACAGACTGAATCCGTAGTCACATACACATGCTCATTTTGGTGTGTATTGCTAGAGAGGTTTTTTTTTTTTTTGGGAGAGTGCATGTGATCAGCACATGGCCAATCAGCATTGTCCAGACAGAGGCTCAGGGGTTCTGCATCCTCCTAGACCAGACTGAAAACTCCTACAAGCTTTAACCAGTGCTCTGCTGGACACTGATAGAAGTCACAAGACTGCTATATACTGCTGATGAGAAAAGGTATTTAGCAGTTTATATTTATTTAAATAATTGCATTTCCATGTTCTGTGTACTGTGGGAGAGGATATAGTGAATGCAGGGTCCGGGGAGACCAGATATAGTGACTGCAGGGTCCGGGAAGACCAGATATAGTGAATGCGGGGTCTGGGGAGACCGGATATAGTGAATGCAGCGGTCCGGGGAGACCAGATTTAGTGAATGCAGGGTCCAGGGAGACCAGATATAGTGAATGCAGGGTCCAGGGAGACCGGATATAGTGAATGCAGGGTCCGGGGGAGACCGGGATATAGTGTGAATGCAGGTCCAGGGAGACCGGATATAGTGAATGCGGGGTCCGGGGAGACCGGATATAGTGAATGCAGGGTCCGGGGAGACCAGATATAGTGAATGCAGAGTTCGGGGAGACCGGATATAGTGAATGCAGGGTCCGGGGAGACCGGATATAGTGAATGCGGGGGACCGGGGAGACCGGATATAGTGAATGCAGGGTCTGGGGAGACCGGATATAGTGAATGCAGGGTCTGGGGAGACCAGATATAGTGAATGCAGGGTCCGGGGAGACCAGATATAGTGAATGCAGGGTCCGGGGGAGACCAGATATAGTGAATGCAGGGTCTGGGGAGACCGGATATAGTGAATGCAGGGTCCGGGGGGGAGACCGGATATAATGAATGCAGGGTCCGGGGAGAGCGGATATAGTGAATGCAGGGTCCGGGGGAGAGCGGATATAGTGAATGCAGGGTCCGGGGAGAGCGGATATAGTGAATGCAGGGTCCGGGGAGACCAGATATAGTGAATGCAGGGTCCGGGGAGACCAGATATAGTGAATGCAGGGTCCGGGGAGACCAGATATAGTGAATGCAGGGTCTGGGGAGACCAGATATAGTGAATGCAGGGCCCGGGAGACCGGATATAGTGAATGCAGGGTCCGGGGTTTAGTATCACTTTAAAAAAGAAAGATGTTCTCACACTGCAAGGTGATATCCTATCTGTCAGTACCCATCGCATACAACACATGATAAAAAACCTACCTTAAAACGAAGCCCCCCATTGGTGCGCTGTCACCGCTTCCATCTTCAGTTTTTCCTTCCAGGTTCTCAGGCCGTTTTACTGTCTGAGCCACGATAATGTCACTTCTGCACATGGTGCGTGGGAGCCCAGGGCACGGCACGGGTATGTCATTCTTTCAGAGCGTATGCACCGGTGACGTAACGGCTGCTGCTCGATGGAATATCTCCTGAATGGTGCACGATGACATATTCATTCACCTACAGGTCAGCTTTATTATAAGCTTACCTGTGAATAAAAGTCCAAAAACTAGTTTCCTGTCATTTTAAGCGCCTGTTATTACCGCCCCCCCCCCCCAACTGCAAGTGTAAATGAGTCCCTATGATAGGGATTGGCTCTCTGAACTTCATTACTATCAGCTAATAATTGCTGGTGGGTTTAGTAAGGCTGTAAATTCGCAGCGACATTGGATTCCTGCGGCAGAAATCACAGAGGTATGTGAACCTATAGATGCACCCGGGACCAATTCTCTGCCCCAAACTGCAGATAATAGCTCCATCCAGGGGCGGACTGACCATTTGGAAACTCGGGCACTGTCCAAGGGCCCGGGGTCAGTAGGGGGCCCTATGAGATGCCCCTGGTACCTTTTTCATAGGTTTTTTTTTTGAGTTTGGGCAAGGACACAGGGGCCCCATGATCCCCTATTCCCCGGGGGCCCCATGAGTTGTCAGTCCACCCCTGGCTCTGTGTGGACAGAAGTGCCCGCTGTCAGCCTGTCATTCATTGTACTCTCCTCTGGTCTCAGCTGTTCACGTACAAATGTGATTCCTGCGTTCCATTCCTAATCTCCCATCGGAATATTGGCCAACGTTACTGAGTGGCTGGAAATCTGCCATCTGCCTAAAGGGGGGTCATTCAGCAGACAGATATGAGCTGATCCCAGCCATGTCACCATCTGCCTGGAGTTTGCATGTTCTCCCCAGTGCCTGCGTGGGTTTCCTCCAGGTACTCCGGTTTCCTCCCACACTCCAAAGACATGCTGGTAGATGAATTGGCTCCTGTCTAAATTGTCCCTAGTATGTGTATGTATGAATGTGAGTTAGGGACCTTAGATTGTACCCCCTTGAGGGTTAGGGACTGATGGGAATGTACAATATATATGTAAAGTGCTGTGTAAATTGATGGCGCTATATAAGTACCTGAAATAAAAAAAATTAAAAATACATCTAACACTAGCCTGGAGGTGCCCCCTGTCCTCCTTCTACCTTTTTCCATTTTTGATTCTAGCTAAATACAGGCTAGGTTTACAGTACTCTGGGTTCCCTGCGGCGTTTGCGACCACAAGTATGAAATCTCCTAATGCGTGTGGCCGGCCGAATGCAACCCTATCAACGAAATGAGGCTGCGATGCGGCCATACACAGTAGTGTGGACTTTTAGAAGTTGAAACAGGTAATGTGGCGGTAACTTAACATCTCCTCACCACCTGCCAAACACCCTCTGAAAAGCGATCCACTGTGGATCACTCTTCAGAGGGCTTAACACAAGCATAAACAAGCCCTTGGGATACTTTGGGAAAAAGGTTCATCAAAGTTGCTGAACAAAATATAAAAGCGTGGGGGACGTCTACCTACCTGGTCAGGTTTCCACCTCTGTTTAGTAACCAATACAAACTCCACACCGTTCTTGTTGAGTATTTAGGATACAACTGACTGCACCTGCTGGACATATAATGGTAGGTTCTAGTGAACTAGTCAGAAAACGCAGTTGTAGGCAGGGGCGGACTGACAACTCATGGGGCCCCCGGGCAATAGGGGATCATGTGTCCTTGCCCAAACTCAAAAAAAGCCTATGAAAAAGGTACCAGGGGCATCTCATTGGGCCCCCTACTGACCCCGGGCCCTCGGGCAGTGCCCGAGTTTCCAAATGGTCAGTCCGCCCCTGGTTGTAGGATGGCGGTGCTAGTTTTAGCCCTTTCACTACCAGAGCTGTTTTCTTTTTGCTTTGTTTTTTTGCACAAGTTTAAAAAAAAGTATTTAGGCCTGAAGATTAGTGAAAACCCCCAAACGTGATATATTTTGTGAATGCAAAGACCCTGGAGAGTATCTTGTTCCTTCCAATTGTTAATGTTGCACATATTAGTGGTTCATTTTAGGGCGCATACAGAAAACACAAAATGATACCCAACTCTTTCTTAAAATATGAGATTGCACCGAGTAAATAGATAACTAACATGTCACACCTTAACAGCTTCTGCGCCGTCCTGTAGTAGAAATACTGCTACAGGGCAGCATGACATAGCAGTTCCGGGTAGGGGGCTCACGCACGCCCTACCTGCACCGCCATTTGCATCCTCAGACGTTAATCACTGGGTCCTGGGATTCTCTGCTGGCACCCGGCGATCTCCGAGTATTACCGATGGGGGAGAGACTTGTATGTAAACAATACAGATCTCTCCACTGTCAGCTCCTGCACGCTGCTTTGTACGGCTCTGCATAGCACAGCCATACAAAGCAGTGTGCTTAGAGGGAAAACGCACACATAGTAAAACAGCACAGCACACAGTTAACTCTTTGATTGCCCCCGATGTTAACCCCTTCCTGCCCAGTGCCGTTAGTACAGTGTCGGTGCTTTTTATTACCACTGATCACTGTATCGGTGTCACTGAGGATATCAGTGACTGACAGTCAGTTTCCCCCCCCAGTATTAGAATGCCCGCCACAGTCCTGCTATAAGTCGCTGATCGCCGCCCTTACTAGTAAAAAAAAAAAAAAATTAATCCAGTATAGTATCCAGTAGTGTAAACACTATAACTTTCACGTAAACCAATTAATTTACACGTATTTTGATTTTTTTTTTAGCAAAGACGTGTCACAGAATACATTTTGGCCTAAATTTGTGACGGAATTTTAATTTTTACATTTTTTTACTGGACATGTTTAATAGCAAAAAGTCAAAAATATAGGTTGTTTTTTGTTCCAAATGTTTTTGTTTATAGCGCAAAAAAATTAAAACCGCACAGGCGATCAAATACCACCAAAAGAAAGCTGTATTTGTGGGGGGGGGGGAAAGGACGAAAAAATAAAAACTACACAGGCAATCAAGTACCAGCAAAAGAAAGCTCTATTTGTGGGGGGGAGGACGTAAATTTTGTTTGGGTGCAGCGTTGCATGACCCCGCAATTGTCAAAGTCACACTGCGCCATATCACAATAAATGGCCTGGTCAGGAGAGGGGGGGGGGGGGTAAATCCTCTAGGGGGCAAGTGGTTAAAACTGTAATTTCTTAGACTCAGCCATGACACCTTCTGCTCACTCCCAGACTGACTGGTTCCTGAATTCTGTTGTAAGTAAAAACCTATTTTACAGAATGTACTAATGCTGTCTTTTTTTCCCCCCCACAGGTGCAGTACTGTGATTTGACAGAATGGTGGTGCTGCAGAGCTACTGCGAGCAAAATGGCAGTGTGTCCCAGGCTTGGCTGGACAGCGGCCTCTCGCCATGCTTTTATTTCACTCTGGTCCCGTCAGTGTTGCTCAGCTTTTCTATCCTCCTGGGAACGGTGCAGTCGGCCTGCTATGTCACGCACAGCCGGACGATGGAGCCCAAGTACATCCCCAAGTCTCGCCTGTACCGCCTGCAGCTGGCGCTGTCCGTGGTGCTGATCCTACAGGCTCTGGGAGGTCTGATCTGGCAGGCCGCGGGTGGCAGTGACCTGTATGGGTACATGATTGTGCACGGCTGTCTCTATGCAGGCGCCTGGGCTTTCAGCATTTGGCTCCTTCACTTGGAGCGGACGAGGGCCCTGGAGCGAGAGAGGAGCAGGGGCCACGGTGTTGTTCTCCTGCTGTTGTGGGCCCTGGCGTTTGCCGCTGAGAACTTGGCATTCATATCTTGGCAGAGCCCGCACTGGTGGTGGAAGTCCATGAACACTGCTGACCAGAAAGTAAGAATTCCTTTATTTTCTATAAAAAAATTGGGAGAATAAATAATAGTGGTGAGAAAGTCATAAAAGTAGTAATTAACCACTTGAAGGCCAAGCATTTTCTGGGACGTTTTGTTTACAAGTTTAAATTAGTATTTTTTGCTAGAAAATTACTTATAACACCCAAACGTTATATATTTTAAAGCAAAGACCCCAGACAAGGAAATTGCAATTGTTTCAAATTTTTTCACATGGTATTTGCACAGCGGTTTTTTGAACGCAGTTTTTTGGGAAAAAAATAAATATAAATGACTCATAAAAAAACAAAACACAATATAAACACCAATTTTTTGTTTTTAAAATATGAAAGAGGTTGTTCCGGTGAGTAAATTGATACCCAACATGTCGTGCTTTAAAATTGCGCACGCTCGTGGAATGGGGACAAACTACGGTACTTAAAAATCTGCATAGGTGACCAATTAACACTTTTTACAGATTACCGATTTAAAGTTACAGAGGAGGTCTAGCACTAGAATTTATTTTATTTTTACACTGTCTCTTTATTTATTTATTCATTTATTTATTTTGATCACTTCTATTCCTACTACAAGGAATGTAAACATCCCTTGTAATATAAATAGGCATCACCAGTCCTCTTTAAAAAAAGATCTGGGGTCAAAAAGACCCCAAATCTCTTCTTTACCTTTCAAAGCAAAAGATCACTAATTGATGCCTAACATGTCATGCTTTAAAATTGCGCACGCTCGTGGAATGGTGACAAGCTACGGTACTTAAAAATCTCCATAGGTGACCCTTTAAAATTTTTTACAGAATACCTATTTAGAGTTACAGAGGAGGTCCAGCACTAGAATTATTGCTCTTGCTCTAAAGTTTGCGGCGATGCCTCACATGTGTGCTGCGAACACCGTTTACATATGTGTGCGATTTACGTATGTGTTCACTTGTGTGCTCGAGCAAGAAGGGATGGGTGCTTTACATTTTTTTTTTTTTTTTTTTTCTTTTTTCTTTTTCCACTGTCTCATTTATTTATTTATTTTGATCACTTCTATTTCTATTACAAGGAATGTGAACATCCTTGTAATCTCCTCCCGCTGCTATGGAAAGTGATTAAGTGGCTAATGAGCCACTAGGACCACTTTCATTAGGAAGCTGGCCATCGGCTGAAAAAAAGATTCCTTCCTACCACCCACCCCCTCCCTTCCTTCTTTCTACCCTCCCTTCCTTTCACTCACCTTTTCCTTCCTTCCTTCCATCCTCCTTTCTTTCCTTCCACCTCTTCCTTCCTTCCAACCCCCCTTCCCTTCCTTCCTTCCACCCTCCTTTCTTCCTATTCTTCCTTCCTTCCACCCACCCTTTCCTCCCTTCCTTCCACCCCTCCCTCCCTTCCTTCTATCCACCCCTCCCTACCTTCCTTCTATCCACCCCTCCCTACCTTCCTTCTATCCACCCCTCCCTCCCTCCCTTCTATCCACCCCTCCCTCCTCCCTTCTATCCACCCCTCCCTCCTTCCCTTCTATCCACCCCTCCCTCCTTCCCTTCTATCCACCCCTCCCTCCTTCCCTTCTATCCACCCCTCCCTCCCTCCCTTCTATCCACCCCTCCCTCCCTCCCTTCTATCCACCCCTCCCTCCCTCCCTTCTATCCACCCCTCCCTCCCTCCCTTCTATCCACCCCCTCCCTCCCTTCTATCCACCCCTCCCTCCCTCCCTCCCTCTCTTCTATCCACCCCTCCCTCCCTCCCTTCCTTCCTTCCTCCCTTCCTTCCTCCCTCCCTTCCTCCCTCCCTTCCTTCTATCCACCCCTCCCTCCCTTCCTTCTACCCACCCCTCCCTTCCTTCCTTCCACCCCCCATCCCTTCTGTCCTTCGCTCCACCCTGCCTTCCTTCTTTCCACCCCTTCCTTCATTCTACCCCTCCTTCCACCCTTTTTCTTGTCAAAAGTGGAGTTACTCTTTAAATTGATTATTTTAGTGCCACTTTAAAGTGAAAGTCCATGATGTAGATGTTATAATTGACAGTTACAGAAAGTATTGTTTTGAAATTAATTTTTGATGCGTTTCAAGAGATCTCATGTCTTTACCTGCCATCATGGCCTCATTCCAAAGTGCCCCGTGGGGGGTTTGTGTTTAATGTGGTATAAATGTTGTTTCTAACTGATGTTGTCCATACAGGTTCAGTTTGCTCTGTGGACTTTGCGCTACATCTGCACGCTCTTCCTCTTCACGCTGGGAATTCTCGCCCCTGGCCGGCCACGCAAACCCTACATCATCCTCATCAATGAAGATGAGAGAGACGTTGAGAATACACAGGTGAGAGGAAGTGTTCTCAATCCTAAAGAGAATGCATACTCTTCTTTTCTGTTTTTTTTTTTCTTTTTCTTTCAGTGCTGAAAAAATATTTTTTTAAAAATGTCTTTAGGCTACATTCACACCGGCTATTAAGGCCAGTGAGAATTGTGGCAGCAGTTCCTGCTGCAGCTCTCAGCAGCAAGGTGCCCCTGCCAGCCCCATTCACCATAATGACAGGTCGCCAGCAGCTGCAGCCATTTGTGTCTCTTCTCACAGCCAGTGATTATCTGCAGTGATTGCTGCTGGACACGCACAAAAGTGCGGCCAGCAGTGACCACCACAGGTAATCGTTAGCTGTACAGAGAGCCAGAACTAGCCACGGCTGCTGGCGACCTGTCATTGTTGTGAATGGGGCCGGCAGGGGCACCGTGTGTGTGTGTGTGTGTGTGTGTGTGCGTGCGTGCGTGCGTGCGTGCGTTCGTAGGTTTACATACCCTGGCAGAATTTATGATTTATTGGCCATTTTTCAGAGAAAATGAATGATAACACAAAAGTTTTTCTTTCACTCATGGTTAGTGTTTGGCTGAAGCCATTTATTATCAATCAACTGTGTTTACTCCTTTTAAATCATAATGACAACAGAAACTACCCAAATGACCCTGATCAAAACTTTACATACCCCAGTTCTTAATACTGTGTATTGCCCCCCTTAACATCAATGACAGCTTGAAGTCTTTTGTGATATTTGTGGATGAAGCTCTTTATCTTCTCAGATGGTAAAGCTGCCCATTCTTTTTGGCAAAAAGCCTCCGGTTCCTGTAAATTCTTGGGCTGTCTTGCATGAACTGCACGTTTGAGATCTCTCCAAATTATATTGAGGTCAGGAGACTGAGATGGCCACTCCAGAACCTTCACTTTGTTCTGCTGTAGCCAATGACAAGTCGACTTGGCCTTGTATTTTGGATCATTGTCATGTTGGAATGTCCAAGTACGTCCCAAGTGTAGCTTCCGGGCTGATGAATGCAAATTTTCCTCCAATATTTTTTGATAACATACTGCATTCATCTTGCCATCATTTTTGGAATTTTTATTCCAATGGTTTTTATCAATTTTTAAACATTATAAAACAGAGGCAATAAAACACGCCCACACAGGGGCTATCAATTGCACAGAAAAACAAAATGCAAATATAAAAAAAAAAAGAAAAAACAGTGCTCTAACGCCAACAGGGCAAAAGGTACGCCCACGCAGGGGCTATCAATGGCACATAAGGTACAAAACATTAATGCAACTGACTCTAACAACTAAAGGCAGCTGTCCAGTCACACCAAAAACAGAGAGAGAGAGAAAGGGGAAACAAAAAAGGGTGGGTCAAAAAGCAGGGGTCCAAGAGCGCCAGTATCGAATGCTATTACATTCCCAGACTAGCCGGGGGGAGTGTGGGAAAGGCATATTGCAACCACGGCTCCCATATTTTCAAAAATTTACGTTGGGAGTCGTTGCATATACTGGACATCTGTTCGTTGAGCATCATAGTAGTCATACGGTCCCGCACCCCCTGAAGAGGGACAAACGGGCTCTTCCAGGCCTGAGCAATTGTTCTAGTGGCCGATAGAAACAAATAAGAAGCCAACTTCTGCTGGTGAGCCAAGAGGCCCGGTATGGGGCAATGAAGCAAAGCATACCGAGCATCCCGGCGTATGGAGAGATGGAACAAGGTGAAAAAGAGGCCAAACACACGAGACCAAAAGCGAAACAGTCTCCGGCATGACCACCAGATATGCAAGACATCTCCACGATGGCCACAACCCCGAAAACATTGATCACTACAGGCAGGGTTAGCCTGGGCCAACCGAGCCGGAACCCAATACCACCGAAACAATACCTTATAGGCTGCCTCCAGTGTGGTTGTATTAAAATTTAGCTATGAATGACCAGGCCTTATTCCAGTCCTCCAGATCCACAGCCACTCCCAGATCTCGCTCCCACTGAACAACATATAAAAGAGAAGTATGCGATGAGCGTCTGTTCAGAGCTGCATAAAGAAGGGATCTTGCCATCAATTTTGACCAAAATTTCCTGTGCCTTTGTAGCTCACACATCCCCAAAACATCAGTGATCCACCTCCGTGTTTCACAGTAGGAATGGTGTATCTTTCATCATAGGCCTTGTTGACTCCTCTCCAAATGTAGCGTTTATGGTTGTGGCCAAATTTTGGTCTCATCACTTCAAATGACTTTGTGCGATAAGGTTTGAGGCTTGTCTCTGTGCTGTTTGGCGTATTGTAAGTGGGATACTTTGTGGCATTTGCGTAGTAATGGATTTCTTCTGGTGACTTGACCATGCAGCCCATCTTTCTTCAAATGCCTCTTTATTGTGCAAACAGCCACACCACATGTTTGCAGAGAGTCGTGTATTTCACCTGAAGTTATTTGTGGGGGGTTTTTTGCATCCTGAACAATTTTCCTGGCAGTTGGCTGAAATTTTAGTTGGTCTTCCTGACCTGTTTCAACAGAACCCCTCATTTTCCACTTCTTAATTAAAGTTTGAACACTGCTGATTGGCATTCCCAATTCCTTGTATATCTTTTTATATCCCTTTCCTGTTTTATATAGTTCAACTACCTTTTCCCGCAGATCCTTTGACAATTCTTTTGCTTTCCCCATGACTCGGAATCCAGACATATCAGTGCAGCACTGGATGAAAGATGCAAGGGGCTGTCAGGAGTCCAGAAACTCATTGACCTTTTATACACCCACACTAATTACAAGCAAACAGATCAGAGGTGAGGATGGTTACCTTTAACAGCCATTCAAACCCCTTTGTGTGCATGTTATCAGGCCAGAATCGCCAGGGTATGTAAACTTTTGCTCAGGGTCATTTGGGTAGTTTCTGTTGTCATTTTGATGTAAAAGGAGTAAACACAGTTGATTGATAATAAATGGCTTCAGCCAAACACTAACCAAGAGTGAAAGAAAAGAAAACCACTAAGCAACTTATTCACTCCCTTGTCATATCACGCCTTCGACTACTGTAACTCCCTCCTCATTGGCTGACCTCATCGTAGAATATCCCCCCTCCAGTCTATCATGAATGCTGCTGCCAGACTCACTAACCGTTCTGTATCCGCCTCCCTTCTCTGCCAATCCTTCCACTGGCCTCCATTCAGTGTCCTCCACCCCTCTCTGCCAATCCCTCCACTGGCCTCCACTCAGTGTCCTCCATCCCTCCCTGCCAATCCCTCCACTGGCCTCCATTCAGTGTCCTCTACCCGTCTCTGCCAATCCCTCCACTGGCCTCCATTCAGTGTCCTCCACCCCTCTCTGCCAATCCCTGCACTGGCCTCCACTCAGTGTCCTCCACCCCTCTCTGCCAATCCCTCCACTGGCCTCCACTCAGTGTCCTCCACCCCTCTCTGCCAATCCCTCCACTGGCCTCCACTCAGTGTTCTCCACCCCTCTCTGCCAATCCCTCCACTGGCCTCCACTCAGTGTCCTCCACCCCTCTCTGCCAATCCCTCCACTGGCCTCCACTCAGTGTCCTCCACCCTTCTCTGCCAATCCCTCCACTGGCTCCCAGTTGCCCAACGGTTAAATTCAAAACTCTAACAATGACATATAAAGCCATCCACAACACTGCCCCAATTTACATAACCGATCTTATCTCTAAATATCACCCAAACTGTAAACTCCGCTCCTCGCAAGACCTCTTACTCTCTAGCTCCCTTATCTCCTTCTCCTATGCTTGTCTCAAGGACTTTTTCAGGGCATCACCCTCTGGAACTCCCTACCCCAATCTATCAGACTATCACCTACTCTACTTGCCTTTCGACGATCAATGAAAACCTATCTCTTCAGGGAAGCCTATCCCGCCCTCTGCTAATTCTGGAATCCTCTACTCTTCCAACCACTCCATCCCCACACAGTGACTACCGACTGTACCATTCACCCCGCCCTCCTAGATTGTAAGCTCCAAGGATCAGGCCCTCAAATCCCTCTTGTATCGAACTGTATTGTTACTGTATTGTTTCCCACCATAATGTAAAGCGCTGAGAAAACCATTGGTGCTATATAAATCCTGTATAATAATAATTTTCTGTTATCATGCATATTCTCTGAAAAATGGCTAAGAAATCATAAATTCTGCCAGGGTATGTAAACCTATGAGCACAACTGTGCGTGTGTGTATATATGTGTGTGTATGTATGTATGTGTGTGTGTGTGTGTGTGTGTGTGTGTGTGTGTGTGTGTATATATATATATATATTATATATATGTGTGTGTGTGTATCAGGGTGGATTTGATTTAAATCAAACTGATTTGAATCACAATTTAAATCACTAGTCAGTAAGGCTTGATTTAAATCCTAGTTTTCTACATAAAGACTAATTCTTGCTGGTATAACTTTAATATTCAAGTAGATGAAGATTTTTAGAATAACAACTTTTCATATTAGTTTTTTTTATCCCCAGTTTAATAGGTTAATCATTCATATTTGGACAACTTTTCTGTTGTACTTAGGAAGGAGAAAAATAATCATTACCTTAATAATAACAATTTAAATAGATTTATTCATCTGAAACAATAACATTCCAGCATATGTGATTTGCTTAAACATCCATGTTTGGTAACTAATTTGGCTAAACAAAATATATATATTTTAAGAAACTTAGACTGTCAGCCCCTCCCCCTCACACTTAGTTTCACTTTCTTCTTGTGCAGATCTATTCCACTCCAAACAATCAGAAAAATATTGTTTCTATTCTATTCTCTGAACTTCTTGAAACTTCGCACTGAAGGGGTTGATTCTGTATTCATAGGTTTGTAGAAGTTAGGATGAAGGTCTTTTTCTTAACTCTGTTCATGTTATAACATTTTTTGCTGTGAAGAAGAGGCATGTGATCTCCGCTGAGTCAAATTCAGTTTTGAGAACTGCAAAAGTAAACCAATCATCTGTGATAATATCTTGTAGGCAGAGAAACTGCCCAATAATCATACAAAACCCTCTGAAAGAGCATGACATTGTGAATGGATTCATGGAATTTATTTACCAAAAACATTAAACATATACAGCCTTATTCTACATAATTAAAAAACTAATCTTTATTTCATGATGGAATAACCTTTGGATGGTAATATATTTTCCGCAAAAAGCATTTTATTTAAAAAAATCCAATTTAAATTAAAAAAAATTGATTTTTATCCACCCTGATATGTATGTGTGTATTTATATATCTATATATATATATCTATCTATATATATATCTATATATTATACACACATAAAATATATATGTGCCATTCCCTGAATGTGTTGCCGATTGGCTTTCAGGAAGGATTGCAGTTTCCCAGGATGTATTTGTACTTTCCAGCCTCAGTTTGCTGACTAAGGTCGGCTATTGTGCCGTCTCTGTAGCACCCGGCTGACCTGTCTATACTGAGAGCCTATAGGACATGGTAATGTTTGCTCTGTAATTGCTTATTTGGCATATATACATGTGTGCAGTCAGGCTGATTCCATATTCCGAAGACAGGCAACAGAGGTCATATTTCAGGGATTTGATTTCAGTAAAAAGATCATTGGATTTGGCTCTGGCGGTTATTGCACATTGAGACGTATATGTCCCAAATTGTTCTGCAGCACATGTGCTGACAGGTAAAGATGGGTTTGTCTGCTACAGCAATTCCACCTGTTATTTAGGCCATACACAGCCAGATTCCAAGCACCCTACCACCACCAACTTACATATTAATGTTTTCCTGGCAGGAACGCTGGTAACGTTTAGCTGTGTAGGCTGCACTGATGAGAAGGCACTGACAGATGGCACTAATGATCAGTGCATTGATTCGCAGTGCAAGCCCCCATACACACGGGACGTTTTGATAACGCTGGTAACGTTAGTTGTGTAAAGTCACGTTAACCACTTCCCATCCAGCCCATGTATATAAACGGCTGGACGGGAGAAGTGCAGGAGCGGGTTGCCATTTATAAATGTCCTCCCTGCTTGTGTGCGCTCTCACACGATCGTTGTACGGGACCTCTGTGTGAGGTCTGGATCATGTGATCACTGATTGGCCAATCAGTGATCACATGAATAGAAGTAAACAAGATGTCACTTCTGACTTCATTGCTTACTACTAGTGAAATCTTTGAATGATCACAGAGATTACATGGTACAGGGCTATTCACAACAGCCTTGTACCATGTGACAAGCTGTGACCAATCACAACTCTAACAGTACTTCTCAAAATCTGCAAGAATGGAGCCAGAGAGAAGGATAAATGATTGCTTTTACAGCCTTTATAGGTGTAAAAGCAATCTGTGTAAAAAAAAAAAAAAAAAAAAAAAATCTCATCATCACCCCCCACAAGTAGTACAGTGTCACTATGGTGACACTGTACTGCTAGGGTGACAGTATTTAAAAAAAAAAAAAAAAAACATAAATAGTAATATAATATAAAAAAGTAAAATAAAAATGTAAAAAAAAATTTTAGAAAATTTTTTATAATTTTTGGTTATAAAGTAATTTGGGTTTTTTTTGTTTTTTTTTTACTAAAAAGATAACTGAATAAATCTTGGCCAAGATTTATGAAGAAAGATTATACATTTGCAACATTTTATAAGAAAAACACTTTTTTTTCAAAATGTTTTAACTTTTTCATTTATATAGCAAAAAAAAAAAATAAAAATCCCAATGGTGAATAAATACCACCAAAATAAAGTTTTATCTGTCTCAAAAAAATGCTAAAAAATTCATATGAGTACAGTGTTGCATGACCGCACAATTGTCATTCAAAGTGTGACAGCGCTGAAAGCTGAAAATTGGCCTGGGCAGGAAGGGGATAGAAGTGTCTGGACTTGAAGTGGTTTTTTTTTTCTGCAGCGTTTTCCTGCGTTTTTATACCTTTTTTTTTTTTTTACCGTTTTTTTTTAATATTTTTATGGTCAATTAAAGTCCACAAACGCTGGTTTGCAGCGTTTTTACGGCTTTTGCCGCATTTTTTAGTGTTAGAGCTTTTTTACAGCTAAAAAAACTCCCCTAGAAACCCACTAATAGAATACTATGTTGGGGGGTTTGCTGGCTGTAGAAAAATACATCAAAAGCCAAAAACATCCACTGTAAAAATGTCCCGCGTGCATGAGGACTTATGCCGGCCGAACGCAAATGTGCGGCCTCCCGAGTCTGGGCCTAGACGCCGAGCGGCCGCACATTTGCATTCTATTAAAAAAGGACATATGTGCCGAGAGCGCGCGCTCCCCGCACACATCTCCGGTACTCACGGAAAGGTCCCGATCTCCTCTTTCGATTGGGACCTTTCCCGATCATGTGACCCTAAACCCCACCCTGTCTCCCGGCTTCTGAAACTCTTAAAGGGCTGGGAGGCGCCGGCGTGAAGGGGTTAAGCAGTCACAGCAAAGGTTTTTCCTTTTGGGATAAAGGTTTTACATAAATTAAATAAAAGCTGATCATTATATCAACCCTGTCAGTGGTAAATGGTTTGTCTCTTTTATTGGACAGCTTGGTCTGTTAAATGGTGTTGAAAAATAACAGGCTTACTGGCCAGATCACCAGGTGAAATAAAGGGAAAACACCTAAAAAAAAAAAAGACTAATGCAGCCACCACATCTAAGGATCGGTAAGCTGCCGTATAATAATTTTTTTGTTTTGGGGTTGAATACCAGGAAAACCCCTCTCTAAAAGTTTTCACTTAATAAGAGACAAACTGCAGAATCTGTTTCCCATCAGACTCTCTGTCTCTTTCTTATTTATTTAATACAGGTACTTATATAGCACCATCAATGTACTCAGCACTTTACATATATATTGTACATTCACATCAGTCCCTAACCCTCAAGGGCGTACAATCTAAGGTCCCTAACTCACATTCATACATACACACACTAGGGGCAATTTAGACAGGAGCCAATTCACCTACCAGCATGTCTTTGGAGTGTAGGAGGAAACCGGAGTACCCGGAGGAAACCCACACAGGCACAGGAGAACACGCAAACTCCAGGCAGGTGGTGCTGTGGTTGGGATTTGAACCTGCAACCCGAGTAGTGCCAGGCAGAAGTGCTAACCATTTAGCCACTGAGCTGCCCTGATTGACAACATCCAAACAGAGAAGGTGCGGGGCAGAGGGCAGGGTTTTTTTGGGGGGTTTTTTTTCGGCAAAGCGGCCAAGAATACGTTTCTTTTCATGAATGTTCTCCATGCTGGATTGTCCGAGGTGTCATCCCCCTCCATAGGCATATTGTTTACAGATTTATTGCTCCTTTTTCTATTCTCTTAGCCTCTTTTGAGGGATCAGAACCAGTCGACATGGCAGGATTTCTGGAAGAAGGTGCGGCTCCTCGTTCCGTATATGTGGCCGCGGGGGAGTATGTTTCTGCAGCTTCTGGTTCTCCTCTGCATGGGGTTGATGGGTCTGGAACGAGCTATCAATGTCTTCGTCCCCATCTATTACAAGAAAATAGGTGAGACCGGGCTTCAAGCCTTACTTTCTCTGTAAAAGTGAACACGATTGATTTGGATCAGTTTTTGGATCACCTGATTTAATTAACAGTTTCAGAATTTTACATGACAGAATAAAATCTATCCAGGGGAGGACTGACCATTTGGAAACTCAGGCACTGCTCGAGGGCCCGGGGTCAGTAGGGGGCCCCATGAGATGCCCCTGGTACCTTTTTCATAGGCTTTTTTGAGTTTGGGCAAGGACACAGGGGCCCCATGATCCCCTATTGCCCGGGGGCCCAATGAGTTGTCAGTCCGCCCCTGAATCTATCGGTACAGATTACAGTGTTTTGGTCAGTTTTATTGCATTTTGTTTCGGTAGATGTCCTCACCTTGTGACCCTCACCTTGTATAACAACCCATTCAGTTTAACCGCCTCCCGCCCGCCATATACGGAAATGACGGGCGCAAGGCTGTTCTCTTGTTCTGGTAGGACGTCACATGACGTCCTCCACTCTGAACGCGCGTGCGCGGCTCTGGGAGCGCACAGCGCGGCGATCGGTGGTGCGCTATGTCCCTAGGACACAGCGGATCACCGATCAATGGAAAGAGCCGAAGATGTTGGCACGGTCAAGTGATCAGCTGTGTCCAATCACAGCTGATCGCATGTAAATAGGGAAAAGCCGGTTATCGGCATTTCTCTCCTCACGAGCTGTCACTCTGACAGAGGAGAGGAGAGCCGGTAATCGGCATCCTTCAGAGGGGACATCTACACTGATCATCAGGGCACTGATGGTCATTGTACCCTGATGATCAGTGTAGCCCCAGCAGTGCCACCTGTCAGTGTCCATCAGTGCCACATCAATGCCACATATCAGTGCCTACCAGTGCACATCAATGATGAGCTGCCTTTCAGTGCCAGTCAGTGCCAGTCAGTGCCACCTATCAATGCAAGTCAGTACCTCCTATCAGTTCTACAATCAGTGCCGCCTAACAGTGCCCGTCAGTGCTACATATCAGTGCAGCCTAACAGTGCCAGTCACTGCCACCTAACAGTGCCAGTCAGTGCTGTCTATCAGTGCTGCCTATCAGTGCCATATATGAGTGCTGCTTTTCAGTGCCCATCAGTGATGCCTGTCAGTGCCCATCAGTGCAACCTACCAGTGCCTCCTCATCAGTGCCCATCAGTGCCACCTATCAGTGCCCATCAGTGCAGCCTCATTAGCGCACATCATCAAGGAGAAAAATCACATATTTACAAAATTTTATAACAAAAACTAAGAAAAAAATTTTTCTTTTCAAAATTTTCAGTTGTTTTTGGTTTGTTTAGCAAAAAATAAAAAACCCCGAGGTGATTAAATACCACCAAAAGAAAGCTCTATCTGTGTCAAAAAAATTATACAAAAATTTATATGGGTACAGTGTAGCATGACCGCACAATTGTCATTCAAAATGTGACAGTGCTGAAAGCTGGAGATTGGCCTGGGCAGGAAGGGGGTATAAGTGCCCTGTAGGCGAGGGGTTAAAATAGAAATGAAAGGTAAAACATTTGTGTAACCACTTCAATACAGGGCACTTATACCCCCTTTCCTGCCCAGGCCAATTTTCAGCTTTCAGCGCTGTCACACTTTGAATGACAATTGCGCGGTCATGCAATAGTGTTCCCATATGAAATTTTTTAAAAAAAATTTTTCACACAAATAGAGCTTTCTTTTGGTGGTATTTAATTGCCGCTGTGTGTTTTAATTTTTTGCTGAATAAAACAAAAAACACCTGAAACTTTTGAAAAAAAACGCTTCTGTTATGAAATTTTGCAAATAAATAACATTTCTTCATAAATTTAGGTCAAAATGTATTCTGCTTCATTTCTTTGGTGAAAAAATAAAAAAATATAATAATAATTTATTGGGAGTTTTTTTTCAAATTTTTCTATTTTTTTTTTTTTTTATTTTATTTTTTTATTTTTTATTACATGATTTCTTTTTTCTTTTTTTTTTTACTATTTTATTTTTCAGCACACTGTGACCAAAGCAATACAATGTTACCATAGTAACACTGAACTACTCTGGGCAAGTAATCAGGATTTTTTTTTTAACACATTATGATTGCTAATACCGATGTATTTCATTGATATTTGCAAACATTGTTACTGAATGGAACTGATTCATTCAGTCTTTTGTTGTGATTAGCTGGGATTGGGCAAAGCTGATCACATGATACAGATGGGCTGTGATTGGCCCTGTCTGTATCATGTGACTGCCTTGACCAATCATACGTAACAACGCAATTATATACAATGGATGGCATGACAGGAAGCCTTCCATTTTATACAATTGACTTGTGATCGGCTGTGATTGGTCACAGTGGTCACATGACACTGGCAACAGGCCGGTGTAGTGATATGTCGTCAGCTGTGTCCCGTGCATTGACCTTCATTTTAGCGCACTGTTAAAACACAGGTTAACGCATGGACACACAGAAAACATGTATGTTCCTGTATGTCTCATTCACATTGCAATGCACCTCAGAGCTGTTCTGCAGGGTGCCGCAATAAAATGTAGACATGCTGCATTTTATTGCAGTGCACCATACAGAAATGCATACCACTGCATGACAGCGTAGCGCATTGCTCTGCTGTACAGCACTCTTTGATCATTCATCATTGGTGTCAGTGGGAGGAATAGTGCCCCATCATTGGTGTCAGTGGGAGGAATAGTGCCCCATCATTGGTATCAGTGGGAGGAATAGTGCCCCATCATTGGTGTCAGTGGGAGGAATAGTGCCCCATCATTGGTGTCAGTGGGAGGAATAGTGCCCCATCATTGGTATCAGTGGGAGGAATAGTGCCCCATCATTGGTGTCAGTGGGAGGAATAGTGCCCCATCATTGGTATCAGTGGGAGGAATAGTGCCCCAGCATTGGTGTCAGTGGGAGGAATAGTGCCCCATCATTGGTGTCAGTGGGAGGAATAGTGCCCCATGGAATAGTGTCCCATCACTGGTATCAGTGGGAGGAATAGTGCTCCATCATTGGTGTCAGTGGGAGGAATAGTGCCCCATCATTGGTATCAGTGGAAAGAATATTGCCCCATCATTGGTATCAGTGGGAGGAATAGTGCCCCATCATTGGTGTCAGTGGGAGGAATAGTGCCCCATGGAATAGTGTCCCATCATTGGTGTCAGTGGGTGGAATAGTGCCCCATCATTGGTGTCAGTGGGAGGAATAGTGCCCCATCATTGGTATCAGTGGAAGGAATAGTGCCCCATAATTGGTGTCAGTGGGAGCAATAGTGTCCCATCATTGGTGTCAGTGGGAGGAATAGTGTCCCATCATTGGTGTCAGTGGGAGCAATAGTGTCCCATCATTGGTGTCAGTGGGAGGAATAGTGTCCCATCATTGGTGTCAGTGGGAGGAATGGTGCCCTCTTGTTGGTGTCAGTGGGAGGAATAGTGCCCCATCATTGGTGTCAGTGGGAGGAATAGTGCCCCATGGAATAGTGCCCCATCATTGGTGTCAGTGGGAGGAATAGTGCCCCATCATTGGTATCAGTGGAAGGAATAGTGCCCCATCATTGGTGTCAGTGGGAGCAATAGTGTCCCATCATTGGTGTCAGTGGGACGAATAGTGTCCCATCATTGGTGTCAGTGGGAGGAATGGTGCCCTCTTGTTGGTGTCAGTGGGAGCAATAGTGCCCCATCATTGGTGTCAGTGGGAGGAATAGTTCCCCATCATTGGTGTCAGTGGGAGGAATAGTGTCCCATCATTGGTATCAGTGGGAGCAATAGTGCCCCATCATTGGTGTCAGTGGGAGGAATAGTGTCCCATCATTGGTATCAGTGGGAGCAATAGTGCCCCATCATTGGTGTCAGTGGGAGGAATAGTGCCCCATCATTGGTGTCAGTGGGAGGAATAGTGCCCCATCATTGGTGTCAGTGGGAGGAATAGTGCCCTCTTGTTGGTGTCAGTGGGAGGAATAGTGCCCCATCATTGGTGTCAGTGGGAGGAATAGTGCCCTCTTGTTGGTGTCAGTGGGAGCAACAGTGCCCCATCATTGGTGTCAGTGGGAGGAATAGTGCCCCATCATTGGTGTCAGTGGGAGGAATAGTTCCCCATCATTGGTGTCAGTGGGAGGAATAGTGTCCCATCATTGGTATCAGTGGGAGCAATAGTGCCCCATCATTGGTGTCAGTGGGAGGAATAGTGTCCCATCATTGGTATCAGTGGGAGCAATAGTGCCCCATCATTGGTGTCAGTGGGAGGAATAGTGCCCCATCATTGGTGTCAGTGGGAGGAATAGTGCCCCATCATTGGTGTCAGTGGGAGGAATAGTGCCCTCTTGTTGGTGTCAGTGGGAGGAATAGTGCCCCATCATTGGTGTCAGTGGGAGGAATAGTGCCCTCTTGTTGGTGTCAGTGGGAGCAACAGTGCCCCATCATTGGTGTCAGTGGGAGGAATAGTGCCCCATCATTGGTGTCAGTGGGAGGAATAGTGCCCCATCATTGGTGTCAGTGGGAGGAATAGTGCCCTCTTGTTGGTGTCAGTGGGAGCAATAGTGTCCCAAGGGCCGGATAAAGGATATCAAAGGGCCGGATTTGGCTGCAGTTTGGGGACCCCTGATCTGTGTGTTGGGATTGCATTGGGCAAGGCTGCCCATCACAGCCCAATACATACACCAGTTTGGCTGTTCTCTATGCACTTGCTGCTGCTAACACAGGGGGGAGATTTACTAAAACATGCATGGTAGCCAATCATCTTCTAAGCTTTGACAATAAAACCTGGAAGCCGATTGGTTTCTGTGCAGAGCTGCACCAGATTTTACACCATGAAGTTTTAGTAAATAACCCCCATGGTGTTGCTTCATACATATTAGCAGGGTACAGTAAATTGGCGTGTATTCAAAAAGAGCGCCGAGCAACAGGAATACAGACAACCTTTTTCATGGAGATACAGAGGTGCGTTCAATTCCTGCAACGTAAATGATGTTTTTCCCAAGAGCTTCTCAAGCTGCTGCAAGGAGGAGGAGCAGGTAACTGCAGGAGGGACGCATCATTAGAGCATGTTCTGTCTGCGCCATGTAGCTGTTTGCTGTTATTTGTGATTTTTTCTTTTTTTTTCTTTACATATTTTTTGGTTTTTTTTTTTTACTTTTTTTAATTTTTGTTGTTTTTTTACTTTTTATTTTTTTGTTGTTTCTTTTTAACTTTTTTTATTTTTTGTTTTTTTTACATTTTCTTTTTTTTTTTTTTTTTTTTTTTGTGTCTATCAGGTGCAACAGGGTTTGTAAGTAACTTAAGAACCTTCCTATGGATCCGGGTCCAGCAGTTTACAAACCGCGAGGTACAGATCCGCCTGTTCGCCCACCTGCACTCGCTGTCGTTACGCTGGCATCTTGGACGTAAGACAGGGGAGGTGCTCCGTAGTGTGGACAGAGGGACCAGCAGCATCAACAGTCTACTGAGGTACAATTGACATTGCAGGCCAACAACAGAATCATTATTATACCCTTCGAAGAATGTGAGTGTATCCACCTAAGGCTTGGTTCACCGCAATGCGTTTTTTAGTGCTTTTTCCAGAAACGCTTGTGACGGTACGCGGCGTCAGACCCCAGCCCTTCTCACAAACTCGTGACCGAAGGGCCAGCCCATCTCACACCACGCTGTCACTTGCGTAACAATGCCACTCTCAGCTGCGCCCTGCACAAAGATTTTCCAGCTCGCGGGACCACAATCTATGTGCCAGCAACCTGAGAGTGATTGTTACTGGGTCAGGTTAATTACACAATTTACCCTTCACACTGCCACCACCGCCTTTTTGCAGAGGAGGAAACTCACAAATTTTAGCAGTAACACTATGATATTAGTATAAGCGTCTGTAATACACACTGCCACCACAGACAGGTATATTCAGAGGATTATTACATACAGTAGTAGTTTGCATTAAAAGCTTTAGAGACAGTTTCAACACTTTTCAGAAAATAGGATTTATTACTAAAAAGGTCAAAATGGTGCAATTAAAATATTTACAGAAAAAGATGTAACAAATAGAGAGAGAGAGAGAGAGAGAGAAATAAAACAACTGAGAAATAAAATAAAGAAGTTCAAAAGGCAGAATACTTGGTTTGAGTCCAGTCGTCCAAACAAAAGGTTGCCTTGGCTCTCAAGTCTCTTAGGTGGTTCCTGATCGAAGTTAAAAGGAGAGCTCCCTTTTTCCGGGCTGGAAGTCTTTTACTATTATCTCAAAGGGGTGTCTCCTGAGAACAAATGGCCAATCATCCTGTTTGGGGATGGGTGTAAGGCGGTAACCAAAGTTATGACCAAATCCCTTACAATTTCATACTAAGGTCAATAACCTTCAATAGGTACAGGTAGCATCCTAGCAACTGGCAGATTAATATTTAGAATTATATTCCAAATGCAAAGATAGCAAACATAGCATATCTTTACTAGTCAGGATAAAAGAGACTGCTTTCTTCTCTGTTGTAGGTACTGATATAGTCATGCAAAGTCTCGTTTGACTCATATTAAAATGACCTATCCAGATATATACTTCATATTAATGTGCCAGTTCCTGCTGAAGTTTATGAGTTTGTATGAAGAATGACTCATGTGGAATGTACGTTTTATGGCACGCTCTAGCTGTAATGGCCTAACAGGTCATGACTGACCATATACTTCTACCGACTCTCTGGTAGAACAATTGAGGACCCTGCAACCTGGACACTGGCTATGCCCACCACCTTCATTGCATTGTACTGTTGGCCCATTTCCATGATGGGCATTACTAACCTGTTCTGAGTGAAACCTGTCCTGTTAAACCGCTGTATGGTTTTGCCCACCATGCCGCAGCTCAGTTTCAGGGTCTTGACAATCTTCTTATAGCCTAGGCCATCTTTATGTAGAGCAAAAATTATTTTTTTCAGATCCTCAGAGAGTTCTTTGCCATGAGGTGCCATGTTGAACTTCCAGTGACCAGTAAGAGAGAGTGAGAGCGATAACACCGAATTTAACACACCTGCTCCCCACCTGAGACCTTGCAACACTAACGAGTCACATGACACCAGGGAGGGAAAATGGCTAATTGGGCCCAGTTTGGACCTTGTCACTTAGGGGTGGACTCACTTTTGTTGCCAGCAGTTTAGACATTATTGGCGGTGTGTTGAGTTATTTTGAGGGGACAGCAAAATTACATGTTATACAAGCTGTACACTGACTACGTCACATTGTAGCAAAGTGTAATTTCTTCACATTTCTTCAGTGTTGTCATATGAAAAGATAGAATCAATATATTTACAAAAATGTGAGGGGTGGGCTCACTTCTGGGAGATACTGTATATAGTACATTAAGGGGGGTGGATTCATGCGCTGCCAAAGATAAAAACGAAGAAGCTGCTGACACCTAACTACACTAGAATGGATGAAACATAAGTAGATTACCGTATTTTTCGCCGTATAAGACGCACTTTTTCTTCCCCAAAACTTGGGGGGAAATGTCAGTGCGTCTTATGGGGCGAATATGGAGCGGCCGGTCCGGTATTTCCACCGCGGCCGTGTCAGAATACCGGGCCGGCCGCTCAGCTCTTCAGCGGGACCTTACCTGTTCCTCTATCCAGCGGCGTGCTGTCTTCCCGGCTTCTGTAGTGTGGGCACTGGGCATGACAGCCGGGTGCCAAGTGCGCATGCGCAAGAAGCAGTGCTTTTTGTGAATGGTAAGGCGGTACCTGGGACACATGACAGATCCCAAAAGCCGCCGGACCAATCACAAAGCGCAAGTGCTTCTCGCTCATGCGCACTGGGCACCCGGCTGTCATGCCGAGCGCCATTACAGAAGCCGGGAAGACAGCGCGCGCGGCTGGATCGAGGAACAGGTAAGATCAAACAAAAACTCTGCGGAAGTAAGAGCGGGTACCTGTCAAATTCAGGTACCCGCTCCCCACCTCCCCAAAGGTCAGCAGTCATCTGTACTGTCCACAGTCTCTGGTCATCCCTGTGCTGTCCGCAGTCTCTGGTCATCCCTGTGCTGTCCGCAGTCTCTGGTCATCCCTGTGCTGTCCGCAGTCTCTGGTCATCCCTGTGCTGTCCGCAGTCTCTGGTCATCCCTGTGCTGTCCGCAGTCTCTGGTCATCCCTGTGCTGTCCGCAGTCTCTGGTCATCCCTGTGCTGTCCGCAGTCTCTGGTCATCCCTGTGCTGTCCGCAGTCTCTGGTCATCCCTGTGCTGTCCGCAGTCTCTGGTCATCTCCTGTGCTGTCCGCAGTCTCTGGTCATCTCCTGTACTATGTCTGCAGTCCATTAGTTCAGAATTTTTTTTTCCTGTTTTCTGCCTCTAAAACCTAGGTGCGTCTTATACGGCGAAAAATACGGTAGGTGGTGTAGCGCTAATACCATATGATACTTGACATAAAAATCAATAAACGGCTCCATATTAAATAGGTGAATACATAAATTTTATGAACAAATATATAGGTGTACAGTGGTGCACCTAATGTGTAGCCCAAAAACATGCCATCAAGAATGTGACTAAATATAAGTAATAAGTGATATAAGTGAAACAACTATTATATGTGACATTATATATTATTATTATTATATAACAACCAAATATAAATATATGTGATCATAAATGAACAATATTCATAAATCATATAGCACAAAGTCCCAAACGTATAACTGTGATGAAGCAATCTTCGACCTTGAAAATTAATATATGTTCAGCTGCATCAGACCATCTCTCACCGTCTAGCATGCATGCTTATCTCCAATCTTTGACCCTCAAGGAGTCATAAGGCATAACAAATCACCAGTTAGTCCCAGGTGGTATGAATCTCACTCTCTGGATGGACACAGGATCAGCTTCCACACAGCCCACGGTTAATCAACCATTACAATAGTAAGGCCCCTTTACAAAACTCCTCCACTCTCCCAATGGCTCATAAACAGGGAATCAGAGAAAAAGCCACCATAGTGTAATAAAGTAAAGTTTATTATACCATACACAAATTCCAAAGACCTACTCACACATTAAAATCGGGTCATAGACCCACCAGACATGAACTGTATAACCCACAGTCAGGGTGTTTGCATAGGGAGTCCAAAGATGGCTGTCGTCCGCGCATAATTGCATCACCACGGTCTAGTCCAGGGGCGGACTGACCATTTGGAAACTCGGGCACTGCCCGAGGGCGTGGGGTCAGTAGGGGGCCCCATGAGATGCCCCTGGTACCTTTTTCATAGGCTTTTTTTGAGTTTGGGCAAGGACACAGGGGCCCCATGATCCCCTATTGCCCGGGGGCCCCATGAGTTTTGTCAGTCCGCCCCTGCTCTAGTCTGACATGTTGCGTCACGATAACACGTGACTTCTCCAGGGACACATTAGGTGCACCACTGTACACCTATATTTGTTCATAAAATGTATGTATTCACCTATTTACTATCGAGTCCTTTTATTGATTTTTATGTCAAGTATCACATGCAGGGGCGGACTGACCATTTGGAAACTCGGGCACTGCCCGAGGGCCCGGGAACAGTAGGGGGCCCCATGAGATGCCCCTGGTACCTTTTTCATAGGCTTTTTTGAGTTTGGGCAAGGACACAGGGGCTCCATGATCCCCTATTGCCCAGGGGGCCCATGAGTTGTCAGTCTGCCCCTGCCTGGTACCTTTTTCATAGGTTTTTTGAGTTTGGGCATGGACACAGGGGCCCCATGATCCCCTATTGCCCAGGGGGCCCATGAGTTGTCAGTCTGCCCCTGCCTGGTACCTTTTTCATAGGTGTTTTTGAGTCTGGGCATGGACACAGGGGCCCTATGATCCCCTATTGCCCGGGAGCCCCATGAATTGTCAGTCCGCCCCTGATCACATGGTATTAGCGCTACACCACCTAATCTACTTATGTATATAGTACATTCAAATCAGTCCCTAACCCTCAAGGGGCGTACCATCTAAGGTCCCTAACTCACATTCATACATACACATACTAGGGACAATTTAGACTGGAGCCAATCAACCTACCAACATGTGTGGGAGGAAACCGGAGTACCTGGAGGAAACCCATGCAGGCACAGGGAGAGCATGCAAACTCCAGGCAGGTGATGCCGTGGTTGGGATTTGAACCAGCGTTCCTAGTACTGCCAGGCGGAAGTGCTAACCATTTAGTCACTGTGCCTTTACTGTTGTTACTCTTGCATCCAGCTTTATTATTAGTAAAAGTCCCGTAAGTCCATTGTGTCCATGTAGTACTATTGTTAGCCAGTTGAGGACAATTCACATTCTACATACACAGGATGTGTATAGCATGTCCAGCCCTTCTGCCTCTTGTTACTAGGCAGATTAAAGCGCATCAAAAAACACAGCAAAAATGCTGCCAAAACGCACTACATGGTTTTTTGCATCGTTTTCCATTGAAGACTATAAAACCAAAATGCAACTTTTTGCGTTTTTAAAAAAAGTCCCTGACCCTTACCAAAAAAACGCACCGGGTGAAAACGTGAAGATGTGAGCGTGTCCCATAGGAAATCATGTTAAATGGACTGTACTGCGTTTCTGCAAAACGCAATGGAAAGCGCTTAGGTGTGAACCTCGGGTAAAGGGAAAGTTATTGCTGAATAAACAGGCCCATAGCAGAAATGCAAACACTTCTTTGGTCCATAGGAGGTGTACAGGTGAGAGAAGGGAGGTGGGTAAAGGTTCTTACTGATGATGTACTGATCATATTACTGGCACTGCTTAGCACTGATCAGGGGCAGACTGACCATTTGGAAACTCAGGCACTGCCCGAGGGCCCGGGATCAGTAGGGGGCCCCATGAGATGCCCCTGGTACCTTTTTCATAGGCTTTTTTGAGTTTGGGCAAGGACACAGGGGCCCCATGATCCCCTATTGCCCGGGGGCCCCATGAGTTGTTAGTCCGCCCCTGGCACTGATTAATCTGTTTTTTCTCTTCCAGTTACATAGTGTTCAGTATACTTCCAACCATTGCCGATATTGTCATTGGGATCGTCTATTTCACGTCTTCCTTCAACGCCTGGTTTGGGTTGATCATTTTCGTCTGTATGACTTTATATCTGAGTAAGTACGAAGACAGGAGAAGACGCAGGATGTTTTATTTGTAGAGGCCGCTGTTGACTATGTTGCAATATACTGCAATGAAATGGCATAATTAAAAAGGTGCTGTAAGACCGCATGTTATGGTTGGGTCACAATATACTTTGCAGCAGTAACCGTGTAAGCCCGGGTTCACACTTGTGCGGCACGCTATATCGCATGTGATTCGCACAGGAACCGCACCGTATTCCAGTGCAAATCACATACGAATTCTGTGCGGTGCGATTTGAGCCATTCATTTTGTATGGCTCAAACCGCACAGCATCTGCACCAAAAAGGTGCAGGACCCTTTTTTTGGTCCGTATTAGAATCGGATCGCATGGGTATTCACGCCTATGCGATCCGATTCTTCACACACCGCATTTTGCGGACCAATTTCGGGGTGTTGTTAACTTAACATACACACCCGCAGCGGTTCGCATGAACGGGGTACGATTCTGATGCGGTGCGAAATTCGCACAGACGCCGCTGTGAATTCCAGACCGCATCAGTGTGAACCAAGGCTTAAACTCAGTGCCTACCGTTTGGGTCCTCAGGAAAGAGGGAAAAGACCCACACCTTAAGTCCTGGTTCACACTGATGCGGTGCGGAATTTGCAGCGTTTTCTGTGCGAATTCCGCACCGCATCAGAATCGCACCCCATTCATGCGAACCGCTGCGGGTGTGTATGTTAACAACACTCCAAAAGTGACCTGCAAAACGCAGTGCGATGTGCAGAATTGGATCGCATAGGTGTGAATACCTATACAATCCGATTCTAGTGCGGTCCAAAAAAGGGACCTGCACCTTTTTGGTGCGGTGCGATTTCAGCCTTACAATATGTATGGCTCCAATCGCACCGCACACAAATCGCATGTGATTTGCATATTAATGCGGTGGGGTTCCTGTGCGAGTCACATGCGATATACCGCACCACATATATGTGAACCCAGTGTAAATGAGGAGATTAAGTTCATTGACTCAAATTATTACACAGACAAGTCCAGCAGGTGCAACCAATTTTAATGCATTTCACTCCTGACTGGAGATTGATTTTATGATTTACGCTCCAGACAGGAGCAGTGGCGTCCCTATGGGGGTGCAAGGGGGTGCGGACCGCCCCCGGGTGACATCAGGTGCCCAGAGCTCCAGGTCGTCACAGGCAGCAGTATAGTGCTCAATTCCACAACACCTTGTAACGGTGCAGGAGGCCCTGTGCCGGTCTGCGTTTCAGGACCCCTGGCCGTCTCTCCTCCCCCCTCAGTCCTAGCTATGTGTCATTTCCCCAGCCAGATTCGCTGCCGCTGCCGGCCATTCACTCCAATGTCATTCACTCTGCACAGCCATAGATTACCTGTGGCGGTCACTGCTGGACCCAGTTTGTGTGCATCCAACAGTGATCACTGCAGGAAATCGCTGGCTGTGCAGAGAACTGCAAATATCCGTGGCTGCTGGTGACTTGTCATAGTGAATGGGGCCGGCACCTAGCCAAAACAGGAATCCAAAGATCCCTGCCTTTACAATTCACACCAACTTAAATCACCAGTGTGAATGTAGCCTCAGAGTTGCCACCTGTCTGGTTCAGTGGACGTAAAATCATGAATAATTAAAGAATTATAGAAAAAAAATTGTCCTGCGGTTTCTACATGTGTGTGAGAGTCCTACATGTCTCCCAGCAATCTATGCATATTTTATGGGTACTAGAATGCTTGTGTTTAACCACTTGCCCTCTGGAAGATTTACCCCCCCTAACGACCAGGCCATTTTTTGCTATTCGGCACTGCACTATTTCAACTGGTAATTGCGTGATCATGCAATTCTGTACCCGCACACAAATACAGCTTTCTTCCGGTGGTATTTGATCACCAATGGGTTTTTTTTTTTTTGTGATACAAACGAAAAAAAGACAGAAAATTAAAAAAAAAAACAATATTTGTTACTTTCGGTTATAAAAAATATCCAGTTAGTCATGAATTTATGCCAAAATGTATTCTGCTGCATGTCTTTGGTACAAAAACAAAATCCAATACAAGTATATTAACTGGTTTTGTGTGAAAGTTATAGCGTCTACAAAAAATGGTATATGTATTGGAATTTACGCAGCTTTTATTTTCTGACTGCCTATCACATTTCTTGAGGTGCTAAAATGCCAGGGCAGTACAATTCCCCCCCCCCCCCAAATGACCCTTTTTTGCAAAGTAGACACCCCAAGGAATTTGCAGAGATGCATGTTGAGTCCATGGAACATTTTATTTTTTACCCCAAATTTTTGGAAAATGACTTTTTTTTTTTTTTTTACACAAAGTGGTCACTTAAATGATATATTGCTCACGCATGCCATGGGTATATGTGGAATTACACCCCAAAACACATTCTGCTACTTCTCCCGAGTGTGGGGATACCACACGTGAGAGACCTTTTGGCAGCCTATCCACATACAGGAGCCTGAAATCCAATGACCACATCCAGGCTTTCAAAGGGCATATTTCCTCCTATCACTTCCCCAATACCTATCACAGTTTCAGAAGCCCTAAAATGCCAGGATAGTACAAACAGCCCCCCAAATGATCCCTTTTTGGAAATAGACACCCCAAGGAATTTGAAAAGCGGCATGGTGAGAATTTTGTCATAGGGTTTTGAAAAAGAAGAAAAGAAAAAATACATTTTCCTTTTATTTCTTTGTTTTCCAAAAACTTGTGGCAAAAAATGAGATCTGCAAAATGCTCACCATGCTTCTTAGCAAATACCTTGGCATGTCTACTTTCCAAAAAGGTTATTTATTTTTGGGGGTCATTATATTTTGTCAAACACAAAAAAAAATTCTAAAAAGTTTATTCTTTCCAAAAAATGAGAAAAATCACTGCGCAAACACTGTGACATAAAAAATTTCAACACCCACCGTTTTATTCTCCCTGAAATGCCTAACATTAGAAGCTTATGCCACACATCACCTACTTTTCTAGCCACTTGAAGACCGAGCCTTTTCTGACACTTTTTTGCTAGAAAATGACTTTGAACCCCCAAATATTATATATTTTTTTAAAGCAGAGGCCCTAGAGTGAGTGTTGACTTTTTTATCTCACACAGTATTTGCGTAGAAAATTTTTAAATGCAAATGTTTTGGATAGAATACACTTTTTAGAATTCAAATTTTTTTTTGTTTGACAAAATATAAAAGATGATGTTACGCCGTAAAAATTGCACACGCCCGTGCAACATTGACAAAGTCCGTACATTTTTAATATCCATAGGCGGCATTTTAAAAGCCTGTACAGGTCACCACTTTAAATTTACACAGGAGTTCTAGTACTGGAATTACAGCTCTCGATCTGACGTTTGCTGTGATACCTCACATGCATGGTGCAGTCTCTGTTTACATACCGCCATGGGACCGCCGCTTGGGTTTGCACTTGCAAGGATGGGAGTGGTTTCTTTTTTTTTTTAATTAATTATTTTTACACTGTCCATTTCATTTTTTTTTTTTTTTTCCGATCACTTTTATTGTTATCACAGGGAATGTAAATATCCCTTGTGATAGCAATAGGCAATGACAGGTACTCTTTTCTGAGAAATCTGGGGTCTATTAGACTCTAGATCTCTCCTCTTTCCCCTTAAAGCATATGATCAAGCCAAGATAGTGTGATCAGATGCTGCCCCAATTTTAAAATTTGTTTATATCTGGCAAAATGGAAATTATGAAATCTCATAGCTTCTGTTCTCTTAGACCATAGAGATGATTGGAGGCATTCCAGTCTCCGATCAGCTCTATTATCAGCCAGCGGACCTGCTGGCTGCATTTTTGGGTTCCCCTGTGGGACGGGAGACTGCGTAGTAGTGCTTTTTAAGACCGTTCAAAATATAGTGATTATATTATATTCAAATAAACTGTACAACTCAGTTGAACAACAAACTGAAATCTTTTAGGTGGAGGGAAGTAAAAAATAAAAAACTAAAATAATATGGTTGCATAAGTGTGCACACCCTCAAACTAATACTTTGTTGAAGCCCCTTTTTGATGTGATTCCAGCACTCAGTCTTGTTGGGGAGGAGTCTATCAGCTCGGCACATCCTGACTTGGCAATATTTGCCCGCTCTTCCTTGCAAAAACACTCCAAATCTGTCAGATTGCGAGGGCATCTCCTGTGCACAGCCCTCTTCAGATCACCCCACAGATTTTCGATTGGATTCAGGTCTGGGCTCTGGTTGGGCCATGCCAAACCTTTCATCTTCTTCTGGTGAAGCCATTCCTTTGTTGATTTGGATGTATGCTTTGGGTGGTTGTCATGCTGCAGATGAAGTTCCTCCTCCTGTTCAGCTTTCTAGCAGAAGCCTGAAGGTTTTGTGCCGATATTAACTGGTATTTGGAGCTGTTCATAGTTCCCTCTACCTTGACTAAGGCTCCAGTTCCAGCTGAAGAAAAACAGCCCCAAAGCATGATGCTGCCACCACCATGCTTCACAGTGGGTATGGTGTTCTTTTGGTGATATGCGGTGTTGTTTTTACTCCAAACATATCTTTTGGAATGATGGCCAAAAAGTCCAACCTTGGTTTCATCAGACCATAACATATTTCCCACATGCTTTTGGGAGGCTTCAGATGTGTTTTTTGTACAATTTATCTGGACTTGGATGTTTTTCTTCTTAAGAAAATGCTTCCGTCTTGCCTCTACCCCATAGCCCAGACATATGAAGAATACGAGAGATTGTTGTCACATGTACCACACAGCCAGTACTTGCCAGATATTCCTGCAACTCCTTTCATGTTGCTGTAGGCCTCTTGGCAGCCCCCCAGACCAGTTTTCTTCTCATCTTTTCATCCATTTTGGAGGGCGTCCAGTTCTTGGTAATGTCACTGTTGCACCATGTTTTCTCCACTTGATGATGACCATCTTCACTGTGTTCCATGGTATATCTAATGCCTTGCAAATTCTTCTGTACCCTTCTCCTGACTGACACCTTTTAACAAAGAGATTCCTCTGATGCATCGAAAGCTCTCAGTCCATGGCTTTTGCTGTAGGATGCGACTAAGAAAATGTCAGGAAAGACCTACTAGAACAGCTGAACTTTATTTGAGGTTAACCAGAGGCACTTTAATCGATGACAGGTGTGTACTGACTCCTATTTAACATGATTGTGAATGTGATTGCTTAATTCTGAACGCAGCTACATCCCCAGTTATAAGAGGGTGTGCACACTTATGCAACCACTTTATTATAGTTTTTAATGGTTACGCCCCCCCCCTTCCCTTAAAGATTCAGTTTGTTTTTTAATTGAGTTGTACAGTTTATAGGTCACATTAAATGTGGAAAAAGTTCTGAAATGATTTATCTTTGTCTCATTTGTCTCATTTTTTTACATCACAGAAACCTGACATTTTAACAGGGGTGTGTAGACTTTTTATATCCACTGTAAGTACATACTGTAGAGGGATATGTTTTGTTCATATTTCATGTCTGAGGTTTACAGCCCCTTTAAGTATTCAAAGTGATCAGGAATTAGCTTTTCACATGATTGGTTAAATAAAATGAAAGTTCTCACAAATTTTTCAGTAAAGATTCTCAACTCCTTTAGTAAATTAGCTATAATCTCTCAGTTTAGATTCTGTTAGGCCCTCTCTGTGATTGGCATGTCATCTGCTGTGTGGGTGAAAGTCCCATAACAGTCTTTTTCCTGCTTTGCAGCTCTCACCATCATTATCACAGAATGGAGAACGAAATACCGCCGGGATATGAACACCAGAGACAATGAAGCCAAATCCCGGGCTGTAGACTCTCTGCTGAACTTTGAAACGGTGACTTTTTTTTATTTTTTTATTCTGCATTGTAAATTGTACTGACTGATGGACCCGATGTGTGACATTTATATGATTTGTGTGTTTACTTTGGTTATGAATTTTTCTTTTCAGCCAAGATTGATTCCCTGTTACAGTGGGGCAAAAAAGTATTTAGTCCCCACCAATTGTGCAAGTTCTCCCACTTACAAAGATGAGAGAGGCCTGTAATTGGCATCATAGGTAGACCTCAACTATGAGAGACAAAATGAGAAAACAAATCCAGACAATCACATTGGCTGATTTAGAAAGAATTTATTTGCAAATTATGGTGGAAAATAAGTATTTGGTCACCTACAAACAAGCAAGATTTCTGGCTCTCACAGACCTGTACCTTCTTCTTTAAGAGGCTCCTCTGTCCTGCACTCATTACCTGTATCAATGGCACCTGTTTGAACTTGTTATCAGTATAAAAGACACCTGTCCACAACCTCAAACAGTCACACTCCAAACTCCACTATGGTGAAGACCAAAGAGCTGTCGAAGGACACCAGAAACAAAATTGGAGACCTGCACCAGGCTGGGAAGACTGAATCTGCAATAGGCAAGCAGCTTGGTGTGAAACAAATTAACTGTGGGAGCAATAATTAGAAAATGGAAGACATACAAGACCACTGATAATCTCCCTCGATCTGGGGCTCCACGCAAGATCTCACCCCATGGGGTCAAAATGATCACAAGAACGGTGAGCAAAAATCCCAGGACCACACGGGGGGGACCTGGTGAATGACCTGCAGAGAGCTGGGACCAACGTAACAAAGGCTACCATCAGTAACACACTACGCCGCCAGGGACTCAGATCCTGCAGTGCCAGACGTGTCCCCCTGCTTAAGCCAGTACATGTCCGGGCCCGTCTGAAGTTTGCTAGAGAGCATTTGGATGATCCAGAAGAGGATTGGGAGAATGTCATATGGTCAGATGAAACCAAAATAGAACTGTTTGGTAGAAACACAGCTCATCGTGTTTGGAGGAGAGAGAATGCTGAGTTGCATCCAAAGAACACCATACCTACTGTGAAGCATGGGGGTGGCAACATCATACTTTGGGGCTGTTTCTCCGCAAAGGGACCAGGACGACTGATCCATGTACAGGACAGAATGAATGGGGCCATGTATCGTGAGATTGTGAGTGCAAACCTCCTTCCATCAGCAAGGGCATTGAAGATGAAACGTGACTGAGTCTTCCAACATGACAATGATCCCAAACATACCGCCCGGGCAACAAAGGAGTGGCTTCATAAGAAGCATTTCAAGGTCCTGGAGTGGCCTAGCCAGTCTCCAGATCTCAACCCCATAGAAAACCTTTGGAGGGAGTTGAAAGTCCATGTTGCCCAGCAACAGCCCCAAAACATCACTGCTCTAGAGGAGATCTGCATGGAGGATGGGCCAACATACCAGCAACAGTGTGTGCCAACCTTATGAAGACTTCCAGGAAACGTCTGACCTCTGTCATTGCCAACAAAGGATATATAACAAAGTATTGAGATGAACTTTTCATATTGACCAAATACTTATTTTCCACCATAATTTGCAAATAAATTCTTTCCAAATCAGCCAATGTGATTGTCTGGATTTTTTTTCTCATTTTGTCTCTCATAGTTGAGGTCTACCTATGATGCCAATTACAGGCCTCTCTCATCTTTTTAAGTGGGAGAACTTGTACAATTGGTGGCTGACTAAATACTTTTTTGCCCCACTGTATATCCAGGGTGTGGTGCATAGCAATACATAATAAAGGCTCCATCTTTATTACTTCTTTTCATTTGGCTGATAACGGGTTATTCTGTGTAACCTTTCAGACAGTTGGGTGCGGTGCAATAATTCCACAACTCGTACAAAGTATAATAATAAAATAAATGTATTGGCTTGGGTTAAAGATCTAATGCAAATGATAACCTAGATAAATCCTGCATCCTTCCAGTCCAGAGGTCTGCAACTTCTAATCAGCCGTACCTGGAAAGCGGCGATCTTCTGGTTCCAGGAACTCATGATGGAGCCCTGGATGAACTCAACCAGTCTGTAGGGGTGATTTATTAAAACTGGAGCACTCAGAGGGGTTGATTTACTAAAGGCAAATAGACTGTGCACTTTGCAAAGTTCAGTCACTCTCTGCATGTGCAGTTGCTCCAGAGGTGACGCTTCACTTTGCAAAGAATACCCAATCGCAATGCAAGGAAAATAAAAACATAATTTTTGCTTGCACATGATTGGATGATGGAAGTCAGCAGAGTTTCTGCTCATTTACTAAACGCTGGAGCAACTGCACTTTGCAAAGTGCACAGTCTATTCTCCTTTAGTAAATCAACCCCAGAATCTGGTGCAGCTGTGCATGGTAGCCAATCAGCTTTTAACCTCAGCTTGTTCACTTAAAGCGGAGCTCCACCCAAAAGGGGAAGTTCAGCTTTAAGTAATGCTTCCCCGCTCCCCATTAAGGATTGGCACCTTTGGGGAGCGGGTACCCGAATTTGACAGGTACCCGCTCCCATTTCTGGTCCAATCGCCTAGGCCAGGGGTAGGCAACCTGCGGCTCTCTAGCTGTTGTGGAACTGCATTTCCCATGAGACATTGCAAAATTGACAGATACAGCTATGACTTGCAGAGGCATGATGGAACTTGTAGTCCTGCAACAGCTGGAGAGCCGCAGGTTGCCTACCCCTTGCCTAGGCGATCGGAGGGGGAAGGTGTCCTCCCCCCTCCCTCCCTGTAATGTTTGGGACACGTGAAAGGTCCCAGAAGACTACAGGACCATTCATGAAGCGCAGCGCTACTCGCGCATGTGCAGCGGGTACCCAGCTGTGAAGCCGCAAGCTGTCACAGCCGGGTGCCCACACTGAAGATGCCAGCCTCCTGGAATACAGGACGGCTGGTGAAACGGGCTGCGGGGGACACACCACAGGACCGAGGGACAGGTAAGTGGCTGTTTTTTAAAAGTCAGCAGCTACAGTTTTTGTAGCTGCTATTATTTTTTAATAGGTTGAGTGCAATTCCGCTTTAAGCTTTAACCACTTGCCCCCCAGAGGATTTACCCCCCTTCCTGACCAGGCTATTTTCTGAGATACGGCGCTGCATTATTTTAACTGACAGTTGCGCGGTCATGCAACACTGCACCCAAATGAAATTTATATCCTTTTTTTCCCCACAAATGGAATGTGAGGGGTGTACTCACTTCTGTGAGATACTGTATATATACACTATATTGCCAAAAGTATTGGTCGGCCGGCCTTTACACGCACATGAACTGTAATGTCCTCCCAGTCTTAGTCCGTAGGGTTCAATATTGAGTTGGCCCCGCCCTTTGCAGCTATAACAGCTTCAACTCTTCTGGGAAGGCTGTCCACAAGGTTTAGGAGGGTGTCTATGGGAAGGTTGGACCATTCTTCCAGAAGCACATTTGTGAGGTCAGGCACTGATGTCGGGGGAGGAGGCCTGGCTCGCAGTCTCTGCTCTAATTAATCCAAAAGGTGTTCTATGGGGTTGAGGTCAGGACTCTGTGCAGGACAGTCAAGTTCCTCCACCCCAAACTGGCTCCTCCATGTCTTTATGGACCTTGCTTTGTGCACTGGTGGGCAGTCATGTTGGAACAGGAAGGAGCCATCCCCAAACTCTTCCCACAAAGTTGGGAGCATGAAATTGTCCAAAATGTCTTGGTATGCTGACGCCTTAAGAGTTCCCTTCACTGGAACTAGGGGGCCAAGCCCAACCCCTGAAAAACAACCCCACACCATAATCCCCCTCCATCAAACTTTACACTTGGCACAATGCAGTCAGGCAAGTACCGTTCTCCTGGCAACCACCAAACCCAGACATGTCCTTCGGATTGCCAGACAGAGAAGCGTGATTGGTCACTCCAGAGAACACGTCTCTACTGCTCTAGAGTCCAGTGGCGGCGTGCTTTACACCACGGCATCTGATGCTTTGCATTGCACTTGGTGATGTAAAGCTTGGATGCAGCTACTCGGTCATGGAAACCCATTCCATGAAGCTCTCTACACACTGTTGTTGTGCTAATCTGAAGGACACACCAAGTTTGGAGGTCTTTAGCTATTGACTCTGCAGACAGTTGGTGACTTCTGCGCACTGTGCGCTTCAGCATGCACTGACCCCGCTCTGTCATGTGACGTGGCCTATCACTTGGTGGCTGAGTTGCTGTTGTTCCCAGTTGTTTCCACTTTGTTATAATCCCGCTAACAGTTGAGCGTGGAATATTTAGTAGCCAGGAAATGTCACAGATGGGCTTATTGCACAGGTGGCAACCTATCACGGGACCACGCTTGGAGTCACTGAGCTCCTGAGAGCGACCCATTCTTTCACACATGTTTGTAGAAGCAGTCTGCATGCCTAGAGGCTGATTGTATACACCTGTGACCATGGAGGTGATTGGAACACCACAATCCAATGATTTGGAGGGCAGGGCCAATACTTTTGGGAATTGTGTGTGTGTGACTCCAAGCGTGGTCCCGTGATAGGTTGCCACCTGTGCAATAAGTCCATCCGTGTCATTTCTTTGCTATTAAATATTCCACGCTCAACTGTTAAGGCGTCAGCATACCAAGACATTGTGTGTGTTATTATTTTGGATGGAGTAAGGGAGAGTTATAGCCACTGTCAATGTGTCTCGTTGGAGAGATTTCCCTTCACTTCCTGTCCCATAGGCAAAATATGAAGCAAGAGGAAATCCCTCCAAAGTGAGGGAGTCCCTGGAACTAGTGTCTCCATGAAAAGATTTGTCTTGGTGACAACCCAATATTTGAAATTTTCTTTTCCTTTCGATTTAAATGATAATGGTAAAGAGGGGGGATCTCCCTAACACTCTATCCAAAGCTTTACATATGTTTGCCTTTAGTTATAGTTTAAATTAAGGTCTGCAGAGTTTATTTACTCAATTGCATCTCCCATGGTACTCTCATCTCCACAATCTTCCCCTCCCAGAGAAGGTAAGACAAGAAGATCCTAATAGTGTAACAATCGGGCGGACTGACCATTTGGGAACTCGGGCACTGCCCGAGGGCCCGGGGTCAGTAGGGGGCCCCATGAGATGCCCCTGGTACCTTTTTCATAGGCTTTTTTGAGTTTGGGCAAGGACATAGGGGCCCCATGATCCCCTATTGCCCGGGGGCCCCATGAGTTGTCGGTCTGCCCCTGGTAACAATGTTTAAAAACCTTCAATAAAATGATATCAGAGACAGTGAATTCATATTGGTTAGTGCTTCAAACCACACTATCCTGTGCAGGCATGCAGGGACAGGTGAACGGGCCTAGCTTCACAGGAGTGAATTTACTAAAGACAAATAGACTGCACTTTGCAAGTGCAGTTGCTCCACAACTTAGTAACTGAGGCAAAGCTTCACTTTGTAAAGAATACCCAATCATGTGCAAGGAAAATTTAAAAAAAAACAGCATTTTTGCTTGCACATAATTGGATGATGGAAGTCATCAGAGCTTACCCTCATTTACTAAACTTTGGAGCAAATTCCTTTGAAGAGTGCTACAGCACTTGCAAAGTGCACAGTCGATTTGCCTTTAGTACACCAACCCCACAGTCTCTGTGCACCTGTCTTTGCATACCTGTCAAACTCAGCTGTACAGGGGAGTCTCTACGTTTGATGTGTTCCCATTCACCTCTATAGGCTGGCTGCACACAGCTCCACGATATCAGAGAAAGGTAAGTAAATGGCTCTAAAGCCCTGGATGTGGTCCAGAATTCACAGCGTTTTCTGTGCGAATTCTGCACCGGATCAGAATCGCACCCCGTTCATGCGGAACCAATGCGGGGGTGTATGTTAACCAATTCCATACCGGGCAATTTCACACCTTCCTGCCCAGGCCATTTTTCAGGTTTCAGCGCTCTCACACTTTGAATGACAATTGCGCGGTCATACAACATTGTACCCAAACTAAAATTTTATCATTTTCTTCACACAACTAGAGCTTTCTTTTGGTGGTATTTAATCACCGCTGGGGTTTTTATTTTTTGCTAAATTAACAAAAAAAGACCAAAAATTTTGAAAAAAAAACACGTTCTTCTTTGTATCTGTTTATAAAAGTTTACAAATAAATGTTCTTCATAAATTTAGGCCGAGATGTATTCTGCTACATGTCTTTGGTGAACATAACCCAAATTAGGATGTATTATTTAGTTTGTAGGAAAGTTATAGAGTTCACAAACTATGGTATAGATCTGAATATTGATCAATCCTGAAGTACTGACAGCCTAATCTAATTTCTTGAGGTCCAAGAATGTCAGAACAGTACAGATCCCCCAAATGTCAGAACAGTACAGATCCCCCAAATGTCAGGACAGTACAGATCCCCCAAATGTCAGAACAGTACAGATATCCCCCAAATGTCAGGACAGTACAGATATCCCCCAAATGTCAGAACAGTACAGATATCCCCCAAATGTCAGATCAGTACAGATATCCCCCAAATGTCAGATCAGTACAGATATCCCCCAAATGTCAGGACAGTACAGATATCCCCCAAATGTCAGGACAGTACAGATATCCCCCAAATGTCAGGACAGTACAGATATCCCCCAAATGTCAGAACAGTACAGATATCCCCCAAATGTCAGGACAGTACAGATATCCCCCAAATGTCAGGACAGTACAGATATCTCCCAAATGTCAGGACAGTACAGATATCCCCCAAATGTCAGAACAGTACAGATATCCCCCAAATGTCAGATCAGTACAGATATCCCCCAAATGTCAGGACAGTACAGATATCCCCCAAATGTCAGGACAGTACAGATATCCCCCAAATGTCAGGACAGTACAGATATCCCCCAAATGTCAGGACAGTAGAGATATCTCCCAAATGACCCCTTTTTGCAGAGTAGACAGTCCGACGTACTTCATAAGAGGAATGGCGAGTTTTTTGAAGTTTTATTTTTTTTGTCATAATTTTTCGGAAAATGAAAAAATTAAAAAAATTATTTTCACTATTTTTTTTTTTTTTTTTACATACTGTCACCAGTGCAGTACAGCGTCATCATGTAACTGGTATGGCGGTGATCAGGGACACTGGTGACAGTATGAAAATATATATATATATATATATATATATATATATATATATATATATATATATTTTTTTTTTTAAGATTTTACTATGACCAAAGTAGTACAGTGTTACCATAGTAACATTGTACTACTTTGGGGAAGTGATCACTATTTTTTTTTTTTTTACACAATTTGCTTATAGCAAAGAATTACTTTACTATAAGCAAGCATTTACCTGAATGACATCGATTCATTTGGGGTTTTTTTTGTGCTTAGCTGTGATTTGGCCACAGCTAATCACATGACATGTGCATGTGACCTGCTGTGACCATTCACAGCTAGACACTAGTATACAATGGATGGCATGATTGAAGCCATCCATTGTATACAACTGTCATGTGACCTGCTGTGATTGGTCACAGCAGGTCACATGGTACCGGCAACAGGGGCCGTTACTCAGATCTGTCATCGGCCGTGTCCGAGGTACACGGCCGGTGACAGATCGCGCCGCTGCGCGGCTCTGCAACCGCACGAAGTGCACATGTGCGGGAGGACGCCAAATGGCGTACACCCCGGAAAGCTAATGCATTTTTGCGACCGCCAAACGGCTATAGGCCGGGTGGCAAATGGTTAAGTTAACTACATTCCAAAATTGGTCTGCAGTGTGTAGAATCGGATCGCATAGGTGTGAATACCCATGCGATCCATTTCTAGTGCGGACCCAAAAAAGGGTCCTGCATGTTTTTGGTGCGGGTGCGATTAGAGCTATACAAAATGTACGGCTCTAATCGCACAGCAGACAAATCGCATGTGATTTGCAGAGGAGTGCGGTTCCTGTGTGAATCACATACGATGTACCGCACCGCATATGTGTGAACCCGGGGTAACTCTCTACAGGGCTTAATGCTAATGTATTCCTGTCTGATGCATTTCAGGTGAAATATTATAATGCTGAAGACTATGAGGTGAACCGATTCAATGATGCCATACTGAAATACCAGGTAAGTGCACATACAGTATGCTCCGGATTATTTTGTATGCTGAAGTTGGGATTTCTAAGAGGCTGTGTCAAGATGCTGTTGTTCACTTAAAGTGGGTTTTGCTTTATCATTTAAGTCTGTTATTTCATCGTTTGAGACTATAGTTATAATTATATGTGCTATTTATTATGTGGGGTTTTCACGTTAACATTGATTTTACTACATGTGATTTTTTTGACTTTTTTTTTTTTTACTTCGGTTTCATCTTTATTCTTATTTGTATTTTCTCATATACAGTTGTGTTCAAAATAATAGCAGTGTGTTGGAAAAAGTGAATAAAGCTCAAAATCCTTCTAATAGCTTTTTTTTCCATCCACACAAATGCATTGGGAACACGACACATTCTATTCCAAATCACAACATGAAGAAAAATAGATCAAATTTGTGTTGTTCCTCTAAAAAAAATTGAAGAAAAGTGAATATTAGACGGTTCAAAAAAATCGCAGTGTTTGTATTCTTCTTTACAAACTCAAACATTCACTATATAAACTGAGAAATGTTTGAAGATTTTGCTTTCCTTTGAATGACTTCATGAATATTTGGTTGTAGTCGCACTGTTTCTGAGAACTGCTGTACATCTGTGTTGCATGGAGTCACCCAACTTCTGGCCCCTGTGATCAGGTATTCCAGCCCAGGATGATTGGACCACATTCCACAGTTCTTCTCGATTTCTTGGTTTTGCCTCAGAAACGGCATTTTTGATGTCACCCCACAAGTTTTCTATTGGATTAAGATCCGGGGATTGGGCTGGCCACTCCATAACGTCAATCTTGTTGGTCTGGAACCAAGATGTTGCATGTTTACTGGTGTGTTTGGGGTCGTTGTCTTGTTGGAACACCCATTTCAAGGGCATTTCCTCTTCAGCATAAGGCAGCATGACCTCTTCAAGTATTCTGATGTATTCAATCTGATCCATGATCCCTGGTATGCGATAAATAGGCCCAACACCGTAGTATGAGAAACATCCCCATATCATGATGCTTGCACCACCATGCTTCACTGTCTTCACAGTGTACTGTGGCTTGAATTCAGTGTTTGGGGGTCGTCTGACAAACTGTCTCCGCCCACTAAGAACAATCTTACTTTCATCAGTCCACAAAATGTTGCGCCATTTCTCTTTAGGCCAGCCAATGTGCTCTTTGGCAGATTGTAACCTCTTCAGCACATGTCTTTTCTCCAACAGTGGGACTTTGCGGGGACTTCTTGCAGATAGCTTGGCTTCACATAGGCGTCTTCTAATTGTAACAGTCCTCACAGGGAACGTCACACCTTCTTTCATCTTCCTGGAGCTGATTGTTGGCTGAGTCCGCGCCATTTTGGCTATTCTTCTATCCATTCGAATGGTAGTTTTTCGCTTTCTTCCACGTCTTTCAGGTTTTGGTTGCCATTGTAAAGCATTTGCGATCATTTTAGCTGAGCAGCCGATCATTTTCTGCACTTCTTTATATGTTTTCCCCTCTCCAATCAACTTTTTAATCAAGGTACGCTGTTCTTCTGAACAATGTCTGGAACGACCCATTTTCCTCAGAATTTCAGAGTGAAATGCACTGTAACCAGCATGTCCAACATTTGCTGCCTTCCTTCCTTAAATAAGGGCAATAATTGCCACCTGTTTATCAAAGAATGAATGACCTCACTAATAGAACTCCACACTGCTATTATTTTGAACATGCCCCTTTCAATGAGTGATTCAATGACACAGAATCAGCAGCATGCATGTCATGACTGTTGGGTCTGTTGGATTTCTATTACTCTACTACACCTGCTAGGAAATTATTTGCCATGTAGAAATATCATTTCCACCAAAAACAGTGATTGATCCGGTTAGCGATGTCTGACTGCTATTATTTTGAACACAACTGTGTATGTATGTGTATATATATATATATATATATATATATATATATATATATATATATATACTGTATATACAGTCAGGTCCATAAATATTGGGACATCGACACAATTCTAACATTTTTGGCTCTATACACCACCATAATGGATTTGAAATGAAACGAACAAGATGTGCTTTAACTGCAGACTGTCAGCTTTAATTTTTTTTAAATTTAATTTAAATCAGGTAAACTGTGTAGGAATTACAACAGTTTGCATATGTGCCTCCCACTTGTTAAGGGACCAAAAGTAATGGGACAGAATAATAATCATAAATCAAACTTTCACTTTTTAATACGTGGTTGCAAATTCTTTGCAGTCAATACAGCCTGAAGTCTGGAATGCATAGACATCACCAGACGCTGGGTTTCATCCCTGGTGATGCTCTGCCAGGCCTCTACTGCAACTGTCTTCAGTTCCTGCTTGTTCTTGGGGCATTTTCCCTTCAGTTTTGTCTTCAGCAAGTGAAATGCTCAATCGGATTCAGGTCAGGTGATTGACTTGGCCATTGCATAACATTCCACTTCTTTCCCTTAAAAAACTCTTTGGTTGCTTTTGCAGTCTGCTTTGGGTCATTGTCCATCTGCACTGTGAAGCGTCCAATGAGTTGTGAAGCATTTGGCTGAATATGAGCCGATAATATTCCCGAAACACTTCAGAATTCATCCTGCTGCTTTTGTCAGCAGTCACATCATCAATAAATACAAGAGAAGCAGTTCCATTGGCAGCCATACATGCCCACGCCATGACACTACCACCACCATGCTTCACTGATGAGGTGGTATGCTTAGGATCATGAGCAGTTCCTTTCCTTCTCCATACTCTTCTCTTCCCATCACTCTGGTACAAGTTGATGTCGGTCTCATCTGTCCATAGGATGTTGTTCCAGAACTGTGAAGGCTTTTTTAGATGTCGTTTGGCAAACTCTAATCTGGCCTTCCTGTTTTTGAGGCTCACCAATGGTTTCCATCTTGTGGTGAACCCTCTGTATTCACTCTGGTGAAGTCTTCTCTTGATTGGTGACTTTGACACACATACACCTACCTCCTGGAGAGTGTTCTTGATCTGGTCAACTGTTGTGAAGGGTGTTTTCTTCACCAGGGAAAGAATTCTTTGGTCATCCACCACAGTTGTTTTCCGTGGTCTTCCGGGTCTTTCGGTGTTGCTGAGCTCACCGGTGCGTTCCTTCTTTTTAAGAATGTTCCAAACAGTTGTTTTGGCCATGCCTAATGTTTTTGCTATCTCTCTGATGGGTTTGTTTTGTTTTTTCAGCCTAATGATGGCTCGCTTCACTGATAGTGACAGCTCTTTGGATCTCATCTTGAGAGTTGACAGCAACAGATTCCAAATGCAAATAGCACACTTGAAATGAACTCTGGACCTTTTATCTGCTCATTGTAATTGGGATAATGAGGGAATAACACACACCTGGCCATGGAACAGCTGAGAAGCCAATTGTCCCATTACTTTTGGTCCCTTAACAAGTGGGAGACACATATGCAAACTGTTGTAGTTCCTACACCGTTCACCTGATTTGTATGTAAATACCCTCAAATTAAAGCTGACAGTCTGCAGTTAAAGCACATCTTGTTTGTTTCATTTCAAATCCATTGTGGTGGTGTATAGAGCCAACAATGTTAGAATTGTGTCGTAGTCCCAATATTTATGGACCTGACTGTATGCACCATAATGAAGAATTCAACTCATAGAAAAAATCACAGAAATAAGTACAAATCAAAATCAGAGATCAATCTCTTAGGGGATAATGTGTTCAAGTGGTGAATCCACTGGACTTTCCGTTTTCTCAAGGATAATTCTTTGTTGCCCCCAACTTAGATTTATGGTTATTGATGGAATACCCAAAAACAGACACAGGGACATTAGAGAATCCCCATCGATCAACATGGGTACAACCAGCCAGTTGGATTTTTTTTCTACATGCGATTACTGCCGATGGCTATAGCCGCTAGCAGTAATCATTGTGTTCTGCCAGTCGGAAAAGCTCACTGCCGGCAGAACACAATAGCTCTGCCAGAGGGATTCCCCTATTAACACAGACAGGGAATCGAGCAACCACTGGTTGCAGGAAAGCAAATCAAATCATCTATTGATTGCTTTAGTTTGATTTGTCAGTCTGCGATGCTTTCTTCATTGGACTGTTTGTTCTTCAGTGTTTTGTCTCCTTTTAGGTGTCAGAGTGGAAGGTTAATGCTACGTTGGCATTTTTAAATCAGACCCAGAACCTTATCATTGGGCTGGGGCTATTGGCTGGCTCATTGCTGTGCGCCTACTTTGTCACTGAAAACAAGTTTAAAGTAAGTTACAATAACCGGCCATATTCCTGTGCTGCACCTTTGTATACAGATGGATATCCTTTCTCTGATTTGCTGCTTTCTTGCATATACAGGTTGGTGACTATGTGCTTTTTGGTACCTATATCATCCAACTTTACACACCACTCAACTGGTTTGGTACCTACTACAGGTAAGTTGTGCTTTAGAAAAGCATGGACCATGTATCTGTCCCGAGTGAAAAATATTGCCTGCTGCCAGTCTATTCAGTGATGGATTGTGCTCTCAAACTAGTACTGAGAGGCCTTGAGATAATATAGGGATCAAATCATTTCTTTCATTAGTGGCATCTGTTTATAGACGAGCAATCTTCTGCATGGCTGAAGAGATAAAGATACATTAGCATACTTACCAACATTTCAGTCCCTAGTACTCATGTAACCCTTCTACAGTCCACTTAAGGCCTGCCCAGAGAATGCTTGGTCCCTCCAGCTACTGGTGTAACCCATTTATAGTCCACTGAGATCCGAGATGAAGAACTGTCCAGCTTAGGACAGGGCCTCCAAACTTTCCAAACAAAGGGCCAGTTTACTGTCCTTTAGGCTTTAGCCAGCCCATAGCCAGTGGGATTAGAAAAAGCCCTGATGCCAATGGGAGTAAGCAATGCTCCATCATTGGTTTTAGTGGGAGGAATAGTGCCCCATCATTGGTATCAGTGCGTGGAATAGTGCCCCATCATTGGTATTAGTGGGAGGAATAGTGTCCCATCATTGGTATTAGTGGGAAGAATAGTGCCCCATCATTGGTATTAGTGGGAGGAATAGTGCCCCATCATTGGTGTCAGTGGGAGGAATAGTGCCCCATCATTGGTATCAGTGGGATGAATGGTACCCCATCATTGGTATCAGTGGGAGGAATAGTGCCCCATCATTGGTATTAGCGGGAGGAATAGTGCCGCATCGTTGGTCTCATTGGGATGAATGGTGCCCTATCATTGGTTTTAGTGTGGTGGGGGGAATAGTGCCGCATCGTTGGTGTCAGTGGGATGAATGGTGCCCCATCATTGGTTTCAGTGGGAGGAATAGTGTCCCATCATTGGTGTCATTGGGAGGAATAGTGCCCCAAGGGCCAGATACAGGCAAGAAAAGGGCCGCATATGGCTCCTGGGCCACAGTTTGAAGACCACTGAGCTAGGATATAAGGATTAAAAATGAGGGCATGGTAAAGATACAAGAGTTAAAAGGGTCAGTCCATCCAAATCTAATCTTAAAGAGCAATAAACCATTTGACATCTCTTGGAGAATATCCGGCAGGGAAAATAATTATTTGATCCCCTGCAGATTTTGTAAATTTGCCCACTTACATAAAGGGTCTATAATTTTTTATCATAGGTGTATCTTAAATGATGGAGACTGAATATCAACCAAAAATCCAGAAAAAACACATGATACAAATGTTATAAATTGAGTGAGTAAATAGACAAAAGTGTTCAGTCAGCAGTTGCACTGGCTTACCATAGAGATGTTTTAAACCTGATTTGTCTCTGATCACCTCTATGATATTAGAAAGTGGAAGCGACCTGTATATGTATATAATTTGTTTACAAGCTATTTCTTGGCTGTACAAGCATCAGATCATATCTATCTTGGTCTGATCTTATGCTGTTCAGGTCTGGGGTCTAATAGACCTCAGATGTCTCAGTAAAGAGGGCCTGTCTTTGCTGTCACCATCTGTGTACAGAATGCCACCAGGCAGCCATATTACATTGCATTTTACAGAAAATTACAGCACTGCAGATTGAAAAGAAAAAGTCATGTTTAATAACATTCATTCACAATATGACTTGTGTAGCAATCATAATAAATATATATATATATATATAATTTTTTTTTACCCACAAAAGTGGCATAACCCTTTAAGTCCACATAGACGGTGCCATTGTTCATTCTCGTGAACTCTGATGAAGCCTGCACTGATAAGTCCCATGAAACATGTTGGCTTTGCAAACAATTTTTCATTAGAATAAACTAATATTTGGACTTGAATATCACTGTGTGCTTCAATTTTGAATTTACTCAGAAATGTGAAGAATTAAATTTCTGACTTCTGCTTATCCGTGTTACTTGAATGTTTTTCGGGTCTAATGGATTCAATAATACTTCCAGTCACTGACCCAGAACAAGTGTGTTGAATGCTAGCATCCTGAGTATTTTTCATTATGAGCATCCTTGGAGTGTTGGTGAATGCCTGATGGTATGCAGAATAGAGTTGCAAAGAGAGGAAGCAGCATGAGAGAAGTCCAGAAGTTGGGAGCTGGTCAGATGAGGGTCCCGGGATTAAGAAAGGTGTTTGCAAGCATAGCAGAGATTCCATGTGAGTGTCAGCATTGCTGAAAATGTTTATCTGTGTGTTACAGAATGATTCAGAATTCATTCATCGACATGGAGAACATGTTTGAACTCTTCAGTGAAGATCAGGAGGTGAGCAGCTTTTATGCATGTGTTGTACAATCTCCTATAGATCCACCAATACCTATGTATGACCAGGGCCTGTCGGATTGGATATGAATTGAATGGAGTTTTAACCACTTCCAGACCAGACACTTTTACCCCCTTCCTGACCAGCTTTCAGGGCTATCACACTTTGAATGACAATTGCTCGGTCATGCAACACTTTTTTTACCATTTTTTTGAGACAGATAAAGCTTTATTTTGGTGGTATTTATTCACCGCTGGGATTTTTATTTTTTTTGCTATGTAAATGAAAAAGTCCAAAAAAATTTTAAAAAAGTGTTTTTTTTTATAAAATTTTGCAAATAAATAATATTTCATCATAAATCTTGGCCAAAATATTTTTCCGTTATCTTTTTAGAAAAAAAAAAAAAAAATCCAAATTAGTTTATATAACCAAAAATTTATAATTTTTAAACTTTTTTTTTTTTTACATTTTTATTTTATTTTTTTTATTTATATTTTTTATTCTTTTACATACTGTCACCCTAGCAGTACAGTGTCACCATGGTGACACTGTACTACTTGTGGGGGGTGATGAAGATTTTTTTTTATTTTTTACACTGATTGCTTTTACGCCCATATAGGATGTAAAAGCAATCATTTCTCCTTCTCTCTGTGTGCATTCTTGCAGCCATTGAGAAAAACTGTGTGAGCTGTGATTGGTCACAGCTTGTCACAGCCTTGTACCATGTGACCTCTGTGATCATTCACAGATTTCACACGTAGTAAGCAATGATGTCACAAGTGACATCTTGCTTACTACTTTGCATGTGATCACTGATTGGCCAATCAGTGATCACATGATTGGGACCTCGTACAGAGGTCCCGTCTGACGATCGGTGTTTCACTGTGTCTGGAGGACACAGCGGGCACCGGATCGCGGTGCTGTGCGCTCCAAGGCGGCGCGCACAAGCAGGGTACGGGGAGGCCGTTTATAAACGGCCACCCGACCCTGCACTGCCACCGTCCGGCTGTTTATATGCACCGGCCGGGGTCGGGAAGTGGTTAATAAATCCAAGGGAGTTTGTACAAATGGATTGTAATGTGTATGGCCATCATTAGGGCTCATCATAAGAGCTGGGAAGCACTATGCTCCATATAACACATATGCCGGTGTGCCTTGTGTAGGGCCAGGGCAATACGTTGTTATAAATATATTGCACTGTTTGCCTTTTTTTTTTTTTCAATTCAGCTCTATGCATTGCGAAGCGCTGTGGTGCTCTGAGTTGTGCTGCATAAAAAAATACTGACATGCTGCATTTTTTCGCATTTTACATCACCATACATGTGATTGAGGCACATATAGAAGAAAGTTTATGCCTTGTGTTTTTTTGTGTTGAACCTGTGTTGATCTATGCAGATCAACGCAACTAATGTGATAGAACTGTTAGGGCCGGTTCACATCAGTGCTCTTTTACTGCACTAAAACTCACCTTCCCAGCGCTTCAAAAGTGCATGTAAAATATCCCCTTTAGAGCAGAACTCCGGTCAAAAATAGTTTTTCACCATGCAGTGGGACTGTGCCCCCCCCCCGCCCCCCCCCCCCCCCCCCACATGGATCAGCTGCTCGTTTTTTTTTCTAGCGGTGAGCACAAAGCTCAAACCTCACCTGACCCCCCTTTCCTCCGTAAAAACCGCACTCCCCCTTCCTGGTCCAGTGGTGGACTATTCCTGTCTATGGAGCGCGCTGATGTCAGGAACAGTCCATTTACAAGATTGCTGGCTGGGGGGGGGGGGGGAATGCAGGAACTGAAAGGACCAGTTTTGTGCGGGGAGGATGGAGGGGGTCAGCTGGGCATATCTCCGTTCTCTGCCAGAGAGAGAAACAGGCAGTTATTATTATTATTATTATTATTATACAGGATTTTATATAGCGCCAAAACAGTTTGCTCAGCGCTTTACAATATAAAGGGAGACAATACAGCAACAATACAGTTCAATACAAGAGGGATAGGAGGGCCCTGATCCTGGGAGCTTACAATCTAGGAGGGATGAGCTGGTGGTGCAAACGGTAATAAGTGATGGGGGATGGACTGGTTGGAAGAGTAGAAGATTCCAGTATTAGCTGAGGGCAGGATAGGCTTCCCTGAAGAGATATGTTTTCAGAGATCGCCTAAAAGTGAGCAGAGTAGGTGATAGTCTGATAAATTGGGGTAGAGAGTTCCAGAGGATGGGGGGAAGCTCTGGAGAAGTCCTGGAGATGCGCATGGGAGGTAGAGACAAGGGTCTAGAGAGCAGGAGGTTGTGGGAGGAGCGAGAATACGGTATTTTGGGTGATATTTGGAGACAAGATTGGTGTTGTAATTTGGAGCGGGAGTTATAAATGGCTTTATATGTGATTGTTAATGTTTTTAATTTTATTTGTTGGGCAATGGGAAAGCCAGTGGAGGGATTGGCAGAGAGGGATGGAGGACACTGAGTGGAGGCCAGTGGAGGGATTGGCAGAGAGGGGTGGAGAAACACTGAGTGGAGGCCAGTGGAGGGATTGGCAGAGAGCGGTGGAGGACACTGAGTGGAGGCCAGTGGAGAGATTGGCAGAGAGGGGTGGAGGCCAGTGGAAGGGATTGGCAGGGGGGGGGGGGGGGGGGTGGGGTAGGGCGGTAGGCTACGTGGAGGCCAGTGGAGGGATTGGCAGAGAGAGGTGGAGGACACTGAGTGGAGGCCAGTGGAGGGATTGGCAGAGAGGGGTGGCAGATTATGGAACGGTTAGTAAGGTGGATGAGTCTGGCAGCAGCATTCAGATAGACAGTTATCCCATCCATTGTAGGCACAGCCCCACTGCACAGGTGAACATTTTTTTTTACCTGAATTCTGCTATAAATGCTATGGCGCTGTGATTTTGAAAAGTCCCTGCTTGCTGCCCTATCACTGGCATTTTGTGAAAAATGCACCAAAAGACACACCTTTTCATTATAGTCAATGGTACTGCACCAAAAACACAAATTGCGTTTTTTTTTGTTTTTTTTTTTTTAAATCGTGGTCATTTTTTCTCAGAATGACCAGGAAGAAAGATGCATATGCGTTGCATTTTTGATTTTAATACAACGCATTTTTCAAAAAAACGCACATTTTTTTTATCACATTTTACAGAACACAGATGTGAATTGACCCTTACAATTTAATCTGGAGATGGTTGATCGCTCCTGGCTAATCGCTGTGTTGTATTGTCTGTACTCCACAGGTGAAGGATTTGGTGAATGCCTGGACCACCTGAGGTTCCGCCATGGAAAAAAATGATTGAGTTTGAAAATATCCATTTCAGCTATACAGACGGGTGACGGCCAGAACATATTCCAGCATGGGGGGAAAAAACGAATAAATCTTTATGTAATACACTGTGAATTAATAGGAGAAGGAATTGTTTTTTACACACTTCATTTGTTCAACACTTCTGTTGGGACCTGGCTCTTACTGTCCTTTGCACTATTAAAGTGGACCTGTCAGGGAAAAATAAAGAGTACCTCTAGACCAAAAATGTAATATACTGCAAGCTTACCAGTTCTCAGTTGTAATGGCTGCATTAGTTTGTTTTTTTTGCAGGCTTTTTTCCCTTAATTTTCACCTGATTATCTTTTTTTGTATTCTACATGGAGATCACCCCCCCCCCACCCCCCCCCCCCCCCCCTTATGTATTATACACACGGAGATCATATCCCCCCTTATGTATTATACATGTTGGATCATATTCCCCCCTTATGTATTATACATGGAGATCATAATCCCCCCCTTCATTATATTATACATGGGAGATCATATCCCCCCTTATGTATTATATTAGCCACAACTGCCCAACAAAACAAAACATGGAGATCATACCCCCCCTTATGTATTACAGCACATGGTCGATCGTATCCCCCCTTATGTATTACCCCCGATACCAATAAATAAGGAGATCATATCCCCCCTTATGTATGTATACATGGAGATCATATCCCCCTTATGTATTATACATGGAGATCATATCCCCCCTTATGTATTAATACATGTAGAGTAAAAAAAATAATACATGGAGAATCAATATCCCCCCCTTATGTATTATACACAGGAGATCATATCCCCCCCATATGTATTATACATGGAGATTATATCCTCCTTTTGTAATTATACATGGTGATCATATCCCCCCTTATGTATTATACATGGTGATCATATTCCCCGCTTATATATTATACATTGAGAGATCATACCCCCTTATGTATCATACATGGAGATCATATCCCCCCTTATTATTATTCATGGAGATCATATCCCCCTTATGTATTAAAACATGGAGATCATATCCCAATCCCCCCCTTATGTATTATACACAGTGATCATATCCCCCTTATGTATTATACATGGAGATCATATCCCCCTTATGTATTATACATGGAGATCATATCCCCTTAATGTATTATACATGCAGATCATATCGCCCCCTTATGTATTATACATGGAGATTCATATCCCCCCTTATGTATTATACATGGAGATCATATCCCCCCTTTATGTATTATTCATGGAGATCATATCCCCCCTTATGTAATTATACATGGTGATCATATCCCCCCTTATGTATTTATACATGGAGATTCATATCCCCCCTTATGTATTATACATGGAGATCATATCCCCCCTTATGTATTATACATGGAGATGATATTCCCCCTTATGTATTTACATGGAGATCATATCCCCCTTATGTATTATACATGGTGATCATATCCCCCCTTATGTATTATACATGGTGATCATATCCCCCCCCCTTATGTTATTATACATGGAGATCATATCCCCCTTATGTATCATACATGGAGATCATATCCCCCCTTATTATTATTCATGGAGATCATATCCCCCTTATGTATTATACATGGTGATCATATACCCCCCTTAATGTATTATACACGGAGATCATATCCCCCCTTATGTATTATTACATGGAGATCATATCCCCCCTTATGTATTATTACATGGAGATCATATCCCCCCTTATGTATTATACATGGAGATCATATCCCCCTTATGTATAATACATGGAGATCATATTCCCCCCTTATGTATTATACATGGAG